GCTGAGTGTGGGCACCACCAGGGCAGCCCCAGCAGAGGCGGCCACCAGCAAGAACCCCAGGAAGAAGGGGCCTGGGGGTGGCTGGGCCCAAGGAGCAGGACCCGCAGCACGGCACCCGGAACGCTCACCGGAGTTCAGTGCACACCAGCATCTCACAGGAAGCCTGACGCACCCGAAGCACAGTGGTGGACACGCAGCCTTCACGCACCCAGATTTCTTTCCCTGTGCTGTTTTATTTTCACTCACTCTGGCTCTTTGATCAAAACAAATCTGCTCACCAGATGTCCCATATCCCGTCTCACTGGAAGATACCCTTTCGGGCTGAACCAGGACAGACTCACAGTGAGACACCAAGTCCCCCCACAATTTACTTGACTGCTTTCCCACTCAAGGAAGGCAGCCCCGGCCAAGTAGCTCAGGTGGTTAGCACATCACCCCAACATGCCAAGGTGGTGGGTTCAAATCCCCCGACAGGGCACACACAGGAACCAACCAATGAATGCACAGGTAAGTAGAACAACAAATAGATGTCTCTCTCTCTCTCCTTCCTCCTCCTAAAAGTCAATAAATTTAAATTTTTTGAATATAAAATAAAACCAAGGAGAGCAGTGAGTCATAGGAGGCTGAGAAGCAGATCGTTTAAGACAGCACTCGGGACAACGCTCACGCAGACCTCTTCCCGCCCACATGAAAGCTCAGGCGTGGCAGGCACTCCTCAGTGACCGGGGACAGCAGTCTGGCAGCGATGGAAACACTGATGCTGCGTGTCCACGACCTGTGCATCTCACTTTTCAGTGCGGCGTCCAGAGCTTCTTTCCGGAGTGACCACGACACAGGACCTCCCACTGGGGCCTGGGGTGAGGTGCCCCAGCCCCGTGGGCACCCACAGCCGCACACTCAGGGCCCTGCCACAGTGGAGCATCCAGAGAAGGGCTTCCACCTGGAAGGGCCGAGCCAGCAGGCCTCTCCAACCTCAGTAGTCACAGCACATCAGAGCTGGTAGGAAACATGACAGGGCAAGGGCACCCGCCCGCAGCGCCCCCGAGGAAACAGTGGTGACCAGACCCTCCATCCTCACCATGGACTCAACAACGGCTGCTCTCGTGACATCTGCACTAATTGAGTGATGTCCGTGTTGTAAATGACCCAAGTGGCCGAGGGGACCAAGTCGGAGTCCGGAACACGCAGCACATGAGCTTCTCGGTTCACATAGCCATTCTCCTTCCCAGGTAAACAGCTGCCCCCAAAGAGGGCACTTAGGGGGAATGGGTCCATTACGCCAAAGGAACCAGGCGGCTCCGATCGAGGAGTCCGACCCCTGACCTGTCCCCTCCCCACAAAACAACATCGAACGGATGTGGAGCCAGAGAAACATCCGGTCCAAGCAGCAACTGTATGAGGACAACGCTGCGCTTCCAGCAGAAGAGGCTGGGACAGCACCGCTGACGCGACTTTTCCTGCAGGAAGGCAAGAGTGGAGCCAAAAAAATTCTCCCCTCCTCAGATCTGACTCTGCGTATCCTCCTCAACTTTAATTAAGTTGTTTCTGTGTTGGGAAATAATTACTTAATTTAATTTATATATATATATACTTTTTTAATTTTACTTTTTTGGAGAAGGGAAGGAGAAACAAAAAGAGAGAAACATCAGTGTGCTAGATATAACAACATCAGATGGTTGCCTTTCACACACCCCCAAACGAGGACCTGGCCCGCAACCCAGGCATGTACCCTGACCAAGAATCGAACCGGTGAGCTTTTGGTTCACGGCCAACACTCACACCAGCCAGGGCACAATTTTTATTTTAATGAAAGCAGATAAAGGAAGGCAAACGGACACAGAAACAACTCAAGATACTGGGACAACTACTCAGGACAAACTTAGAAAACCTGGGAACTTCTGACCACACTGAGGGCCGGGACCCTCACAGGCAGAAGTACCAATAAAGCCAAATGTCCACCAGACTCCAGCCACCCCACCCGCAAGCACACTAGCAGCACTGGCTCCTTCCCGGCCAGAGACCCCGCTGGCCCTCCAGTCTAACGCCACCAACCCAGGTTCCCGAACAGGCAGGCAAAGCCTCACAATACCCACATCTTTATTCCAGAGTCTCTTACTTCGAGAAGTAAAAAGTAATCTTTGTGACTTAAAAATGCTAAATATTTAAAAAATCAAATCCCTCCTCCTCATCAGTCTATAGGATAGACTATAGCCCTGGCTGGTGTGATTCAGTGGATTGACCGTCAGCCTGCAAACTGAAAGGTCGCCGGTTCAATTCCCAGTGAGGGCACATGCCTGGGCTGCAGGTTCAGGTCCCCAGCAGGGGGCGCATGAGAGGCAACCCAGTCTATGTTTCTCACACATAGATGTTTCTCTCCATTTCTCCCTCCCGTGCAAAATAAATTAAAATCTAAAAATTTAAAACTTAAAAAGACAACTCAGAAGTCAGTTGGTCTCAGTTATCATTTTCACTTGAAAAATATTTAAACTGCTCAAATTACCAAAGTACTTTACAGGCCCTGACAGCCCTCCCCCAAACCTTCCTTCCTTCCTTCCTTCTCACAGCCAGCTCTCCTCTCTGCAGGGAGGAGGTCCCTCCTCTTCCCAGGAGCTTGCTCAGATGCTGTTGCAGCTGCCACTGTAGGCAGCCCTACACCAAAGGCTCCCCCCTGCATGCAGCACACCTGGCTTTGCCCCATCCATACTCCACCGGGGACAACTGCACACACCCAAGGTGAATGCCTCAGGCCCCCAGCACCTGCCCTGACAACCCAAGGAGTGACCCAACAGCAGTTACTGCAGAGCACAGGGCAGCTGGGAGAGCTTCCAAGGTGGTAAGTTGACCCAAACGTCAGGGTTTCCCCAGAGGATCCTGGCAACCCAGGGAGCAAAGCCGGCAGCCACAAACACTTGTCCAAGAACGCACGCCCTTTATCTCTACTCCAAACTGTGGAACGGTTTATTCCTAAATTGGGAAAAGAAAGACAGAACACAGGCAAGACTACACCTATAGAACACAGTTTAGCTGCATCACCTACTTTGAAACACTCAGGTCCAAGGCATGAGTCCTGTTCCCACGCAGACTGGGGCGTCTTAGACCCTCAAGTACAAGCACTGCCAACTGCAAATGCACCCTGGTGCCCGGGGGCCTGCAGGCCCAGCACGGCCCTCACACAGGCTGGGCTGGGGGGGGGGGGGGGGGGGACGGCGGGCAGCACCTCAGACTTTGGGTCTCTCAGTTCCTTTGATAGTTTCTCATTTTGTTTACTTTAATTTCAGTAAAGGTAAAATTCTTAGGGTTCTTAAACCTAGGCTCTTGATACAAATCTTGTACTTTTGACTCAGTGGTAGAAATCCAAGTGAAACTGTCTTTTAAGTCAGGCTGACTGGTCTGCATGAGACACCTTGGTTTTAACAGTGGTTTTCTCTGGGTGAGGGATTACGAGCACTTTTTGTTTCTACTTTGTCTGAATTTACTGACTATAATGAGTATGCACTACTCCACAAAAGAAGAAAGATTTCATTTCAGGGCCGGGGGTGGGGGGAGCCATGCTCCTAACTATTAACACAAATTCAATGCCTGCTCCTCCAAGGACAAAACCAGCATTCTAAGTGGCAGTAGTCAGTGTGCTTTTACAACCTAACCAGTTAAAATCTCAACACATCAAAACCAAACTGGCCCCGGCTGGTGTGGCTCAGTGGATTGGGTGCGGGCCTGTGAAGTCAAGGGTTGCTGGTTCGATTCCAAGTCAGGGCACATGCCTGGGTTGTGGGTCAGGTCCCCAGTGGGAGACACATGAGAGGTGGCCACACACGGATGTTTCTCTCCCACTTTCTCCTTCCCTTCCCCTCTCTCTAAAAATAATACAGTATTTTTTTAAAAAACCCAAACTGTATCTTTTAATCATGTGTTGGAAAGCATGAATTATTTTACGTGGCAAATGTACATGACAACAGTACAAAAAGCTAACATTCAGTACATTATAAATAACTTTCACTTCTTAATGACGATAAAACCCTGGCAGTCTTGTGCCCCCTTGCTCTGTAAGATAAACACAACTTTACTCACACGTGACTTCCGAACAAGACAACCGGGGCACTACAGGTGTCCCACCACCCTTCCCCAGGAGCAGACTCCCGTGTGCACCCCTCCGTCACCAGCGCAGTGCTCCGCCTCCTTAACCGAATGTCACAAGCCCCACGCCCTGTTACACGTGGAGTGTGTCATTTCCTCGCAGCCCACGGCAGTGCTGGAAGTGGGGATGTCTGCTCTCTGAGACTCCCGGGCACTGGCCCTGGTGCAAAGCTCATCAGGCAACTTACCTCACACTCTCAACAAGAGCATTTTGAAAAGTAACAGAAAACAAAGCCCAGCCCAGTCTGTAACAAGACGGGCAGGCACAAAGGAGGAAACGAGTCCAGGCGCTGGCGCAGACGTGGCTGAGGACGGGCCCGTGGGCCCGGCAGGAGCGCAGCCAGGCCTGCCCACATCAGACGGCTGCAGAGCCATGTCCCACCCGCTCCCCCCCCCGCCCCCACGGACCACTGTAGTTTAGAGAGCCCAACACTGACCAGGCAGAGTCTGCACCACAAAGGGCGGTCAGGAGTCAGAAAGACTATCACACCAACAGGACAGTGGCCAGCCCCCACCCCACCCAGCTCCCATCAGCCCCCTCTGATCTCCAACCCAGGGTCTCCTTACCCAGCCAGGAGGCTTTGCTTTCTAACAAGTGACTTAAAACACTTTATTGTGTCGAAGAAGGCGACGGCACCTGGACACCACAGGGCGCCAGACCCGTCACTGTGGGCGGCGTGGCCACAGTCACCCTGATGGCGTCCGGCTCACCCTGTGGGCGGGATGGGCAACAAGGAAACCCCACAGCCCCTCGACCCTAACAGACTCGAGTCCCACCAAGTGGTGAATGAGTGAGGCCACATTTTAAGGGACCACGAGGAACCCATTCTGGGCCCACCCTGGCTTCCGCAGCAGCACATGCTTACCTCTGGGGGGGGATATACGGCGCACACACGGGCGGCAGGGCGGCGCAAGGCTCGCTCAGCGTCTTCTTTGCCTTCTTGGCTTTCTTCCTGACCTTGGATGAGGACCTGACCGTTTTGACTGAGCTCTCTTTTCGACACACCCCGTTTTTCATTTCGACATCCCCATAGATGTTCAGAGGCCTCCGGATACAGCCCGGAGGCGTGTGTATGTCACAGTAAGCGGTCTTTCTGACGGAGAAGGTCGTGGCGCCCCCCGTCAGTTCTTTCACAGGCTCCATTTTCATGTAGAGGCCCGCCCTTTGGGCGCACGTCACGTGGAAGGCCGTGTAGCAGTTGGCCTTGTGGCACTGGATGCAGGCGCCCACGCCCTTCTGCTTGCAGAGGTAGCAGGTCAGCTTCCACCGGGCGGGAGGGATGTTCCTCACACCGTCGATGGGCTCGATGAACACCGTGTTGGCAAAGCCGACCTCTGGGATCCACAGGGCGCACACCACGTGGCCCCAGCGGTCGTCATCCGTCTTTTTGAAGGCACCTCCCTTGTTAGGGCACAGCACGCAGTCAGCGGGCCGGGCCCGGGACTGCAGGCAGTGCCGGCAGAGCCACTGGCCCTCGGGGATGTAGGGCACCCCGTAGCACTCCTGGTGCACGGCCAGGTTGCACATGTCGCAGAAGAGGATGGCGTTGCTGTTCTGGCACTCGCCGTCCATGCAGATGCAACACACGGCGTCCTCGTCGATCAGGGACTGCTGCTCCCCCTGCTTCTGGTTCTCGCAGTAGGACTCCTTCTCGAAGCGGTCCATCAGGAACTCAAATGCGCTCTGCGACACAGCCGCCACGCAGTCGCCCTTCCGCTTCTCGTTGACGATCTCCAGCCAGGCGTAGTCCTCCTCGTCCATGTCATACTCGACCTCGCTGTCCAGCTCCGCAGCTGACTTCTCCACAAACTTGTAGTACGTGGGGGGCCTCCTGGGGGCGGATGGGGGGCTGTACTCCACGATCCGCACCTTAGGCTCTGGGAGAGCACTGGCCAAGGCTGGCGAGCCATGGGCGCTGGGAAGGGCTTCGTTCTTCTTTTTGACTCTATTGTTTTTGTGACGCTTAGTTCTTAGGCACACAGGGGGCCTCTCACTATTTTCTTTGTTGCTGTTGCATTCACTCATTTCTTGAGCAGTGAGGTCATCTTCTAATATGATCTCCAGGGGATCAAAAATACTGATCCTGTGCAAGCGCCCCTCGATCTCGATCTCCACCATCCTCTGCGCTTGGGCGTAGGTCAGGGTCTCGCGCGCGGGGGAATGCTTAGTGCTGCACGGGGAGGAAGGGTGCCTCACTGTAGCGCCTCGATGACATCGTCCTTTCCTCCTCATTTGGTACTGACTCCCTGAAACAGAGACAGGCGAAGTTGACTCAAGAAAACCACCGGCCACACTAGGATAGAGCTCACCAACCCACTCCCACTTCAGCAAAACTCCCAGCTCAGACACCTCTGAGGTTTCGGTCCCAAGACTCGGGACTGCATTTCAACAGCCTGTCCCCACAAGACCATACCTCACCAGGGACTCTCAGAAAACCGAATGGCAAGGAGTGGGCCTTGGGAGGTGAGTGCAGAGACAAGCCCCTCTAGGGCCCTGTGGCTCCCACTGCTCGCCCAGACACCTTTCTAGACAAAGCCAACGGGTCACTGAGATGTCCACAACATCCCTCAAGAGTGTCCCTGCCCAGGGAAGCCCATGCACAGGGTTAGACCCCAGCAGGAATGGAGTTTCTGACCATGAGGCAAAGGTGCTCTGGCTCCCCTGCTGCTGCCCAGGAGAGTGACCCTGAAGCCCCAGTGCACCAGTCCTGGCAGCCCCCGTGCTGGGGACCAGAGGCCCCAGCAGTCTGACCACAGCCTGCCCTTCTCTATGAACACGTCCTCTACAGCTGTGTTGAGGCACAGGGCCACCAACGAAACCAAGAACCAAGAAGGGAGCCCCACACTGATCTAGGGGGACATTCTTCACGCCCAGAAATCCCCAGCCCAGCTTCTGCAGTGCCTCAGCAGTGACCACCACGAAAACCCTCAAGGACCAGTTAGCCTGCCCCCCCCCAGGGGCACTCTCAGCACTGCTGGCTGGACCACAGTGCCAGGGGGGCCCTCCTCCTTCTCAAGCACACCCAGACACACAACACGTGCCAGGTACGGCATCTCTGTTCTCACTCCAGTGAGGACCACCCCCCAGAACCCTGTGCTGCCTGCAGAGCCCCCCACAGGCCTGCCAGCAATGGCTCAGGTACTTGGAATCTTGGCTAGAGGTTCATGATTTGTTCTTTCCAGCCTCCAGTATCCATCACTGAGTTTATTTCACTTGAAACCCCCCAACTCAAGACCACTGCCCACCCAACAGGACTTGTTACCCTAGGAACCGACAACAAAGATCTCTCTCAGATCTCTAAGACTGCACCCCTCAAACACTATTTTACTGACGGAAAGCAAAATGACATTAAAGAGCGGCTTACAAATGCTTTCTTTACCAACACTCGCAGATATTCTGAGTTGGAGCCCGAGGCCCACAGCTGCACGTGGCAGCCAAGGCGGGAAGCCCAGGGCCACGCACCTGTGCAAGCCTCACAGACACCCAGCTGGTCTTTAGGAAAAGTGTTCAAAGCACAGGATTTACTTGGTAAATCCCGAAAAGAAATCCCAGTAGTCCCAAAATACGCCTTTTAAGGTAAGCACTTCAGAGTGCAGCTCTTTTTGTCTTGTGTCAAGTGGAAATCCAGGCTTCGAAGGAATTCCTTGTGAAGGGAAGCACGGTGTGCCCAGTGGTCAGCCACACCCCAACTCACCTGCACTCAGGGGGCTCCATGTGAACCCAGGGAGCAGCCCTCAATTCCTGGGGAATGGGCGGTCAACGAAGCCACCACCCAGCTGGCTCTGGACCTGCAATCCTTTCTCAGGGGAGCTGGGAGTGTCCCCCAGGTGTCAAAGCCACAGCCTGCAGAGGGGACCCTAACGCACCCAGGGATAGGCTCCCATGTCATTACTGAGGCACGGCAGAAGCAACAGCTGGCTACTCCCCGAGGTAAAGGCAAGCCCATCATTTTCTCCTCCACAGCGAAGGACCGAGTGGCCCTAACTAAAACCAGCCCTCCAAACCCAGCCCCGCACTCAACATCACAGCACCTCTCGCACCTCTCTCTCGCTTGAAGATGCAGTTGTGACAGGGAAGAAAGGCGTTTGGCAGCACTGCCCGGCACAGTGCCCTCACCTGCCCGTCATTTCCACACCCACAGGCTCTGTATGTGGCCCCCTTTGCTCCATCCACCCTTGCATGTAGCTCCGCGGGGAAGGAACTGCCAGGACAATCAGCAAGCCTACTCACAAGTGATTCTGCTAAACGGATCGAGAAAAGCCACGTGCATCCCAAGAGAGGAGGACTCCACGCTAAAGACCAGCTCACAACGCCAGCTCAGTCCCTTTGCTGCCTAACTTTGCACAAGTCACTTAAGCTCTCCAAGCTGCTCCCTGTGCCACAAAGTGTGACCCCGAGGAGCACACACCTCCGGGTGTGCAGACTGAGTGAACCCAAAGTACTCACTCAGCCCAGCCCCCGGCAGAGCAGGCGCAGGGCCGGGTGAGCAAACACCACCCTAACCCTATAACGCTGTTTCCGCGATGACCAGGCAGGGGTGAAGTCCGTGGAATGACAGGATCGGTCTGGGGCGGGGGGAGGGAGTTTCCTGGGCGTTAGACGCTGGTCAGAACTTACTGTGCGCTCACAGCAGCTGCACTTTCTGCAAACTGTGCCTTAATAAAGTTCCTTCTTCAAAAAAGGGCCCAGCAGAGCCGGGGCACAAGTCCGTTTCACGGTGTTTACAGCCAGCGCCGCCCGGAAGCCGGAGGGACGCCTCCCTGCGCGGCCGAACGCCTGACCTTGCGTCCACCGACTCCCCGTCTCGTCGGAAGCCTTTAAGTCGGGCCTATAGACAGGCTCCTGACCGGCAAAACGTACGAGTGTGTCTGTTACATAACGCGAACCGCGGGCGCGACGAGGTCTCCCGGCCGGGTACAGCCGGCTCTCGCGCGGGTCCTGTCCCGCTGAGGCCGCCCCTGCTCTGCCCAGAGCCCGAGGAGGCCCGCAGCGCGGGCGGGCCCGGAACGAGGCCGCAGGGCGGGCGGGCCCGGAACCAGTCCGGCCCCTGCCGCCCAGCCTCGCGCCCCACCGCCCGGCCTCTCCCACACCCCGGCTCCCGCCGCCCCAGACCACCCGGCGCCCGCCCCACAGCCGGGTCTCCCAGCTTCCCCTACACCGCGGCCTGGAGCCCCACAGCCCAGACTCCCGCAGGCCGGGCCCCCGACTACCCCGGCCTCACCGCGGCCCCGGCCCACCGCCCCAGGCCGGCCGCCCCGGCCTCCCTCAGCGCCCGCCCGCCGCCCGCGGACAATGCGCCGCCGCCGCCGCGGCCTCCAACATGGCGGCGGCCCGGCACCCGGCGGCCCGCAGCCCGAGAGACCACGGCGGCGGCGGCGACCACCGCCCGCCCCCGTCCACTCACCTTCGGGGCCGCGGGAGCCCGGCGGGCGGGCGGCGCGGGGACCGGCGCGGCCGAGGCGGCGCTAATGGCGCCCGCGGCTCCTCCGCCAACGGCCGCGCAGGCCCGGCGCCGCCACTATGGGCGCGGGCTCCTGTCGGAGGGCTCTTGTCGGCCAGCAGCGGCGCGGCGGTGGAGGGGCCGGGGAGGCCCGGCGGGGCCCGGCCGGCGGCGCGGTGTGGGGAGCGGGGCGCGGCGCGGGATCGGGGCTCCTCAGACACCCGGACCGGCTCGCTCGCTCGCTCCGGAGCGAAGGAAACAATGCGGCGAGCGCTCCGCCCGGCGGCTGCGTGCGGAACGTGCCCCGCCCGCCGCCGTGACGCAACCCGGAGGAGGGGCTCCGGGGGGCGGGGCCGGAGAACGGCCCGAGGCAAGCGCCGGGGGCCGTGCTGACTGTGGTCGGGAGGGGAAGGGGCCTGGGGGCGCAGGGGGCGCAGGGGGCGCAGGGGGCGCAGAGGGCTGAGGGGCCCCCCAGGCACGGGAAGGAGCAGAGGGGACCTCGGGCGTGCAGGGCAGGGAGTTGCCCGAGGGGACCTCGGCAGGGCGGAGACCTAAGAAGTGGGTGTGAGCGCGGGACCGAAAGCAGGGAGACACCGGACGGCCGCAGCTGAGGAGGAAGGGAAGCCCCCAACGAGGAAGGGGAGGGGCCGCCGGGAGGGAGGGGCTGCTGGAGCGGGCGGGAGCCCGGGGCAGGAGCCCGGGGCGGGCTCCGGGCGGGGTGGGTCTGGGAGGGTCGCAAAGGTGAGCACGCGGGGCCAATTAGGTGCCTGAACTTGGTTTAAACCCCAAAGTGCCGCGTAGTCTTGTGGCAGTTTTCACCTGGACGTTATGCCCCACAGTAACCTCGACGGTTCCCCGGCTTCCGTGGAGGTTGTGTCGTGGCGGCGCTGGCTGCACGGGCAGCCCGAGTCCAGCCTGCCGCGTCGCGTCCGGGAGTCGGCGCTCCCCAACCGAGGCAAGAGCGGTCCTTCTGCGCTGATGGGGGCTTCCCCACGCGGGCCGGCGGGACAGGGTCCACGGCTTGGGACGCGCCACCAATGCCTGGCGGGGAGCGGGGACGGAGCCGCACTGCTCCCCGTGCACGAAATGTGAAGGCCCGGAGGGTGGCCTAGGACTGCAGCCGCGGTCGCCCAGCGCGCAGACGCGGCAGCGCCCCACCTCGAGGCCGGCGTCTTTGAGCCCGGGTGCGGCGGGCGCAGCGCCCGGTCCACGAGCGGTTAGTCCTCCTCTGCTGTAAAGACGTCCGCTTCGCGTGCAAACGGCCGGGCGGCCGCGGGTGGAGGGCCGGCGGGCGGGCCTGCGCCCCGCTCTGCGCTGGGCACAGCGAGACGGAGGCCCTACGGCGGCGCGGAGCACAGGTGAGGCCGTCTCGGCTGGGAGAAGGCGGAGGACGGAAGAACTCTGTTCTGCGCGCCACAGTGGAGAGAAGCGGAGTGTCTTAGCAAAGGGTCCAAGAGCGCCAACGGAGTCAGAAATGGCCCGTTCTCGGACTCCAAGCTCAGAAAACCGAGAACCGAGCTCAGAAAACTTCAGAGAGGAAATGATCTTCTGTAATCAGACTGAGCCTGATTGTCAGTTGCCCTGAGAGGAGGGAGCATCCTAGGTGGTTCCTTGGCCAAGAGGCCAGTGACTGAATACTACGGGGAATGAGCCTGGATTTCCATACCCACTGAAACCAGCATCCAAGTGAACGAGTAAAATAAGGATATTTCACAGCCTGTAAGCACTCGAGTTCACCTCGCACAAAGTCTAAAAAATTACTGAAAGATACACCCCAGCAGGATGAAAAGTGAGTCCAAGGGTACGTCCTGGATGCCAGCAAAGACGCCTGTTTGGACTGTTAAAAGAAAATCAGACAAAATCATGAATGAACTGGCTATGTCTGAGAAGAGGAAAGGGGAACAAGAAATAAAAGTGCACTGAAGTTCTTCAATTGCCAAGAGGATTTTAGAATCAACAGAAAAAGGTTTAAATATCCAAGTTCCCACTAGAAAAATAGAAATAGGATTTACAAACTTCAGGAGAGCTGGGGGAAAACTGAAATGAAGGAAAGTTGACAATGCCAACAAAAAGCAGAAAAGAGGAAAAGATGAAAGCATGGTAAAGAAGGAGCATAATATGAGATGACAGGAATAAGTTTAAATGAGCAATGATCGCATTAAAGTCATCTGCTAAAAGCCTCAAATCGGAATATAAATACCATTACAGTGTTTGTGAGGAATACGCCTTGAAATATCAGAGGCTGAAAACCAAGGAATGGAAGGCATGTATCGTACCACTTCTGCTTCCCAGAAGACCATAAGGAGAATGAAGGACAAAAGACTAAAAGACAATATTTGCAACAAGTGTACCTTGCAGATGATTAGTATCCAGAATATACATAAAAAACAAAAACCCTTCAAATCCCTTAGAAAAAGACAAACCAATAGGATGGGCAAAACTCCCAATAAGTTCACTAGTAATTACAAGCAGGCAAACTGAAACCACACCAAATGAGCACAAGTGTTAAAAAAGTCTGGCAATACAAAGTGATGGTGAAAAGGCGGGTCAACCGAACCCTACTAGCTGGGATGTTAGGGAGTGCCACGGTCTCGGTAAATAAAATTCCTCAGTATCGTAAATTTCACTGGGCACTGCCCAATGAAATCGGACATATGCATCTGTTATCACCACATCGCAAACCACCCCCGAAACTTCACAGCTAGACCAACAATCACTCCCTTTGCTCGTGGACCTGCTATCTTGGCAACATTCAGCGGTCGAAGGTGGTCAGGTTCCTGAGGGCAAGAATTCCAAGAGAACCCAGTGGGACCTGTATCACTTCTATTTTTTTGTGGGGTGGCACACTGGTTTTCCAGATTTGTATCGCTTTTTATATTGTCACCTCACAAGTCACGTAGCATCACATCTGCACAAACCTGTCCAGGTTCAAGATACAGGGTGTGGGGAACATCCACCCCTACTTCCTGTGGAGAGAAGCGTCAGTCTTTTCTGCAATCCTCATCCAAGGGTGTATTTCTTGCTTTGAGAGAATCATCCATGGGATTCCTCCCACATGTGCCCTGACCAGGGATTGAACCCATGACTTTCGGTGTGTGGGGCAATGCTCCAGTGAACGGAGCCACCCAGACAGGGCAGTCACACATTAAGGGGAGCGTGCACGTGGGAGAGGTTGCAGTGGCCACTGTGGGCAGAGGCAGCCTGCCACAACGGTGCACGCCCATTCCCGGCTGCAGGGTTAAACAGATGTGTGTTCCTAGGTCAATTCCACGCCTAGAGGTAGGCCGGAGAAACCTGCACTTGTCTATCAGGAGACATGTGTCAATGTTCAAAGCAGCGCTGTCCTTATTAGCAAAAATACCAGTTAAAAAAAACCTCGAATGCCCTGCATAATAAAGCGAGGTGTGTCCGGACAATGGAGCAGCATGAGCTAAAATGAAGGGACCGGGACACTCTGCGCTGAATCTCAGTGTTGCCAAATGGGAAAGACTGCGCACAGAAGACTGCAATGTAATGAGGGTGTCCATTTACACTCAGCAGAGAGCCAGGAGAGAGACGTGTGCATATGCATGCACACGCACACCCCACTACCTTCTTCGGTTATCTATTAACAAACCCTGAGTTTGTGCTGACAGCTCCAAGTCCAACGCAGCAGAGTTCATTCCGTCCTCCCTCCTTCCTGTATAACTCTCGGCAGCGAGAAACCCATGAGTTCACCTAGAGGCTCAGTCCCCACTGTGTGTTGGGGCTGCTGCTCCAGCCAGACCCTTGACCCCAGACACATCGCACGGCCGTTAGATGCACCAGCCAAAAAGCTCAGTTCTGGGGACACCACACCCCCACCTCCAGCACTACGCCATTCAGTCTGCATCTGGAAGTTGAGACCCAACAAAGAGCAAGGGCGTTGGTGTTATTTTTTAATGTTCTGGCAGAAGATAAAATCCATTTTCTTCTTGATGTATCTCTAGCCTTTAACTGAGTAGGCTGCGCTATCACAAACAAGTGAGACGTTCTTCAAATGGTATTTTCTCACTACAGAATTCAAGAAGAGTTTTCACTGCTTCTTCACTTTTCACATAAATGTAGTTATTTGAACAGTTTCAGTAAAAACCAGTCCTCTTTTCTAGGATATAATTGCCCAGCCAATGCTTTATGTTCATATCCCATTTGCATCTCACGTGATCCTGTGGAGCCCGCCCAGCTTGGGAACCAGGGTGGTGGGACCTGTTTTGAACCAAGGCCCACGCAGCCCTCAGACCCACACTGGGCCCTCAGTCCAACAAGCAGTGAGGAAGACACCACAGTCCTCGAGAAAATACGAATGTCCCAAAGTTCCTCAGTACTGCAGGCAACCCTGAGGGACATTGGTGGGTTGGGTTTGGTGACCTAAGAATAGAAGAGCAAATAGGAGAAATTAAAATCTCAGGCACGACAGAGACCCAACCCTGCATTCCTTACGATGACATCTCCAGGCAGAAGCTGAATTTCCAGCCTCTGCTGTTGGGTAACAAGACACTGCTCAGATGTGCCCAATCAGGAGGCTCGCGTGTGTTAATTACCACTTCTTACAGCATCTGTGTGGATGAATCAGGTCCAAACACAATAAGACTAGCTGTCTGTGCTCAAGAATAGCCTCTGAGACGATCATCACGAAGGGAGAAAGGCTAATAAAAAAATTTCCAAAACTTCTGAAGAGAAAGATGGCAGTGGGTCCTTTGGGTGGGAGGCCGAGTGCTGTCTGGCAGACCTGCCAAGGGAATTTTCTGATTCTCTGGGGTGTGCTTTTTAACTTGTTACTTACCACTGATTGTGTTTTTTTACAACTTAAGGAGGGCAGACTGGTAGAAAATCATGCTTAGGTAAAATGATTCTTGTCTGAAAGCAATGCAAATGAATTTTGCCCAGTAGTAAATGATAGAAATTATTTCTGTGTGTAGAAAAGAGTGCAGTTAGAAGAGGTGGCGGTTTTATGGCCTTGTAAAACATTGATCTGTTTTTAATCTAACTTAGCAAGTCCACGCAAGCAAGCCTTTTCTCATCCACTACAAACACTCCCCTCTCCCCCCAGTCTTTTGAAACAGCCTTACCATTACACTGGCTTCTGCATAAATGATTTAAATGAATCTCCGACACCCCTCACATTAGAGTTGTAGAGTGGAATTTTCAACTTTCTGAACAATGGCGCCGTGACAGCTCCAGCATCTGGCCGCCTCTGCAGCCTCTCCTCCGGGACGTCCAACAGGTGTCTCAGACTTAACACGCCTGCCCCCTGGTCCTGAGTGTCTGGCCTTTGCCTCCAAACTCCTCCTTGGTTGTCTTCACCCTGTTACGGGTTGAACGGTGTCTCCCCAAAAGATACGTGACATCCTAACCCCTGGAACCTGTGAATGTGACCTCATTGGGAAACAGGGTCTTTATAGGGGAGCAAATTAAGATGAGGTCATTAGGGTAGACCCTAATCCAGTGACTGCTGTCCCTTTAAGAATAGGGGAATTTGGTCACAGACACACAGGGAGAAGGACATGTGACAACAGAGACAGAGACAGATAGGGCCAATGCACCTACAAGCCAAGGACCACCAGCCACCAGGAGCTGGGTGAGGCAGGAAGACCCCCCCCATACAGGTTTCAGGGAGAATGCAGCCCTGCGGACACCTGGATCTCAGACTTCCAGCCTTCAGGACTCTGAGGCAAAACATTTTCTGGTGGTTGTTCTTTTAACCACCCAATTGGTGGTTGTTTGCTATGGCAGTTACACCTTCTCAGTAAATGGTGACTCCACACTTTGCTGAATGAAAGGCGGTGCCTTACTGCTCACATCTGATCCATCAGTAAACCCTGTGGGCTCCCCCTTCACCGGGCACCTCTAGATTTTTTTTCTGTACGTAGCAGCCCAAGTGATACTGCCACTCCCGCGCTTAGAACCTTCCAGGGGCTCGTCTCTCTCAGAATAAATCTAAAGTCCTCAACTCAGCTACCAAAATAAAGAAGCACCTTTAAAAAATGGGTAGAGGACTTAAGCAGACATTTCTCCGAAGAAGATATAAAATGGCCTTATGATAAGCACATGAAAAGATGCTCAGCATCATTAGCCGTCAGAAAGATGCAAGTCAAAACCACACTGAGGTACCCCTCCACACCAGTAGGACGCTAAAACCGACGTCAGATCACGTCGAGTCCTGGAGAAGATGCAGAGAAACCGGGAATCCCTTGCGTTGCTGGCGGGAATGTGGAATGGGGCAGCTGCTTCGGAAAACAGAGGGGCAGTTCCTCAAAATGCTAAACAGGGTTGCCGCGCAACCCAGCGAGTCTACTCGCAGGCATATACATGCGCCCAAGAGAAATGAAAAGGCACGTGTCCACATGGAAACCTGTGTAAAGACTTGTAGCAGTATTCTTCATAGTATCCGAAAAGTGAAAACACACCAGATGTCCATAACCTGAAGAATGGACAGGTAGAATGTGGTCTACCCACACATGGAGCATCATTCAGCAACAAAAGGAAATGAAGTCCTGAAACATTCCATGTGGGTGAACCTGGAATACGTTATGAGAAGAGAAAGAACCCAAAAGGCCACGTGTTGTGTGGTTTCACCGATATGAAATGCCCGCTAGAGGACGTTTCAATCTGCATAAGCAGAAGGCAAATTAGTGGCCCCCAGGCCCCCCGGGGTGAGGGGTGAGGGGGAAATGGGGGGCCTGCTGATTGGCACAGAGCTGCTTTGGGGATGGTGGAAATGTTCTAAAATTCACTGGCGAGGGTTTTACAACTCTGTGCATATGCTAAAAACCAGTCAACTATACCTTTTAAATGGGTGAATTGTATGGTATGTGGGTTATATCTCAATAAAGCTATTTTTAAAATACATTGAATAATTACATAAGTAAAATTTTAAAATAGTATCAGGACTCCTAGTTCAGGAGTAGATAATGTAAACATATCTCTTCCTGTTCCTCCAACTATTGGGTGGCCACAGAGGGTTTTTTTTTTTTTTCTCCATAAAATGGCTCTAGTAACACTTAGTTGTTTTTAACTTCATTTGAAACAATTTCCTTGGATTATATTGTGACAGTTGTCTCATCAAGGAGCATTTAGGAAAAACTTATCAATATCGTTGCAGCCACTTTAATGTTGAAGGTAGGAAAATACACGACGATTTTGGCATAACATGCTTTATTATTTCAAGAAAGGTAAAAACGCAACTGGAACACACCAATTAAAATGTTGTGCGGTGTGTAGAGAAGGTGCTGTGACTGACTGAATGTGTCCAAAGGGGTTTGTGAGGTTTTGCGCCGGGGATTTCTCGCTGGACGATGCTCCACGGGGGTGGACCAGGTGAAGCTGACAGCGATCAAATGGAGACATTGGCTGAGAACAATCAACGTTACACCATGCAGGAGAGAGACGGCATACTCGAAATATCCAACTCAATAAAGTTATTGGTGAAAATTTAAAAAGTGACTTTTATTTTACAGAAAAAAAGTCAAGGAACTTTTTGACCAACCCAATAAATACAAATTTAAAAATAATACAGCAGCCAAGTGTAGGTGTCTGAACGGTGGGGTAGGACGGTAGGCTGGCCAGACCCAGGACTAGGAAAACCAGCCGGCAGCCCGGGGCGCCCCTCCTCCACCCCGCAGTGCAAGGCAGCCCGGGCCGAGTGTCTCCCCACACACCCCCGGGCCCGCAGCTCTGCCGACTGCCCCCCACAGGGGGACTGGCAGAGACTGAGTGGGAACCTTGCTGGCACCGGGTCTCAGGAAGCATTCTCCGTCCGTGGGTCAGTCCGTCCTTTCCCAGAGGCCCCCACCGGTTCTGGGCAGCCTAGACAATGGAGCACCAGCAGAACGAAGTGGAAGCTGCGGTGGTAACAGATGAACAGAAGTGAAAAGGCCCTGAAAACCGACTTCTCATGTAGCCACAACCCACAAAAGTGGGCCGGGACGTGCTGCCCCTAACCAAGTGACTGCTCAAACGGAGGCTTTAAACGGGGCTCGGATCTCTCAGCACACTCTCCAGACTACGTCCATTACAGTTTCTGAAATTACCGTCACACCAGGAAATCCATACCCTGGAGGAGGAAAACCAGTCGACAGACGCCAACACGGAGACGAATCAGGTGCCGGAACCGTCTGACGGGGACATAGCTGTAAAGCAGAATCACGAAATGCTTCAGCAAGCAACTACGAATTATCTGGAAACAAATTAAAACACAAAATCTTAGCAAACAAACACGTTATTAAATAAAACCAACGGAAATTGTGGAACTGAAAAATACATCAAAATAAAAAATAAAAAAACTCGCTCAGCCCTACCTGGTGTGGCTCAGTTGGTTGGAGCGTCGTCCCACGACCAGAAGGTTACGGGTTCAATCCCCAGTCCCGGTGCCTGCAACCACGGGTCTGGGTGCCTATGGGAGGCGACCACCTGAAGTTGCTTTCTCACACTGATCTCTCTCTCTCCCCTCCTCTTTTTTTTTAAAAATCAATGAAAAAATGCCCTCAGGTGACAATTAAAAAGGAAAACTGGCTCAAGCAGGCTCCATGGCACACTCGATATGACAGCAGAAAGACTGCACAGACCAGAAGATGGAACCACAGAATTTCAATCAGAGAGAAAAACAGACTGAAAAACATGAAACAACAAGGCTTCAGGGAACAGCGGGACTATAACAAAGAAAGTGAACATTTGTATCTTTGGATCACAGAGAGAGAGGAATAGGGTATGAGGCTGAAAAAAATATCTGAAGACATGATGGCAGAAACTTTCCAAATCTGGCAAAAGACATAAACCTGTCCATTCAAGAGGCTAAGCAAATCCCAAACAAGACAAAGCCAGAGAAATCCATGACATGCGCATGGTAACCGGACTCCTGACACCTGATAACAATGAAAACATCTTGAAAATGGACAGAGAAGCAACGCATCACCTATAAGGGAAGAGCAACTGTAATAACAGTTGTGGCCATCAAACCCAGAGGCCAAAGGAGGGGGCACATCTTCCAAGCGCTAAAAGGAAAGAACCACCAACCGTGAATTCTGTATGTAGTGAAAATATGCTTCCGGAATGAAGGGGAAAATAGAAACATTCTCAGACAAAAAAAAAAAAAAAACTGAACTAATTTGTCAGAATTACCCATAAGGAATAACTGAAGGAAGTTCTCCATGTAGAAAACAAATTCTAGAAGGCTTAGAAACTCAGAAAGCAAAAAAAGACACTGGAATGTGTAAAATACTGTCACACATGGTGTCTACAGGAAACTCACTTCACACCTAATGCCATAGGTCGGTTAAAAGTGAAAGAACAATAAATGCAAACTTAGTGAAAATGGTAGGAATGGCCATAGTTTATTATTTATTAAATAACATAATATACGTTACATATTATAACGTTATTAATTATATATTAAAGTCAGGTAAATAGACTCAGAACCAAGAAAACTACTGGAAACAAAGAGGAACGTCACGTGGTGATCGAAGGACCGATGCTTCTGAAAGACACAGTGATGCTAAATGTGTGCGCATCAAACAACAGAGTTTAAACACATAAAGCAAAAGCTGACGGAGCTGAGACGACAGACAGGCAAATGGTGAGTGACAGGTGGGCGCTTCCCTCCTTAGCAACGGACAGAACTACAGACAGAAACAGAGACACAGGAGGTCTCGGTACTGCCCCCTCCAGCGAGATCTAAACATGTATGGAAGACCACACAACGGCAGCAGGATACACAGCCTTTTCAAGCACCCACGGAACATTAACCAAGGTAGGCCATACCCTGGCTCAGAAAAGAAGCCTCAAAAAGTTTTAAAGAGTTTAAATCGTACAGAGTATGTTCTCTGATCATAATGGAATCAAACTAAGCTCCCAGTTTAAGAACCTACGGCGGTGGGGGGAGTAGAGCAAAATAAGCCCAAAGAAAGCACGTAACATAAACAAGAGCAAACCCATGAAACAAAGGGCTGGTTCTTGGAAAAGACAACAAAATTGACAAACCTCCGGCAAGACTGACAAGAAAACAAGAGAAGGCAAATTACGAATATAAAGAATGAGGAGCCCTGGCTGGTGTAGCTCAGTGGATTGAGCACGGGCCTGTGAAGCAGAGGGTCACCGGTTCGATTCCCGGTCAGGGCACGTGCCTGGGTTGCGGGCCAGGTCCCCAGTAGGGGACACATGGGAGGCAACTACACATGGATGTTTCTCCCCCACTCTTTCTCCTTCCCTTCCCCTCTCTCTAAAAATAAATAGAATATTAAAAGAAAAAAAAAGAATGAGAACTTCCAGTTAAGATGGAGGCACAGGCAGACAGACACACTTTGCCTCCTTGTACAACCATAGAAAGAATTACAACTAGATCTCAAAACAAGTAACCCCCGGAGCCATCAGAAAGTTGAGCTCTATGGCAGTCTGATGACCAAGCACTCAGAGAAGCCACATCAGTCCAGACAGGCAGGAGGGGCAGAGTTGCAGAGGCCCAGAGAGGGGGCAGTGGCAGAACGAATGGTCTCACATTCACGTTTGGTGGACAAACATCAGGAGGGATACTTGGCAGCAAGCGATCCCAGCCCCGGCCCAGACCACGCAGCCCAGGGTTCCAGCACCAGGAAGACATATCCCCATAACTTCTGGCTGTAAAAATCTGTGGGGGTTGGGGCAGCAGCAAAAATTGCTGGACTTTCATGAGACTCCATTTAAAGGGCTCTCGTGGAATGAGAATGTTCGCAAACCCACCCTCTGGGATTCAGCACAAGGGCAACAGCTGGAAGGGCGCCCGTCACATACGGTGAGAGAGTGACATGGCTGGAAACAGGCCGAGTGCCGGGCAAACCTCCAGAAGCTAGGGAGTGGCTTCTCCAAGCCCGTCCCCCAACACAGAGCCCAGTGCTGGAGGCAGGTTGCCCCGCCCTGGCCATTCCCCCCAGGCTCCGCCCCACACAGTTCACAGGCGCCTTTTCTACAACAGGCCAGGCTACTAAGACAGGGAGTCAAAGCAGCTCTACCCAATACACAGAAACAAACACAGGGAGGCTGCCAAACTGAGGAGGCACAGAAACACGGCCAAGGAAAAAACAGAACCTCTGAAAAAGAACTAAATGAAATGGAGATAACCAACCTAACGGATGTAGAGCTCAAAACACTGGTTATCAGGACGCTCAAAGATCTCACTGAGCACAGCAACAGCATAAAAAAGACCCAGGGAGAAATGAAGTGTACGTTCAGTGAAATAAAGAAAAACCTACAGGGACTCAACAACAGAGAGGATGATGCCAAGATTCAAATCAATGATTTGGAACATACGGAAGAAATAAGCATCCAACCTGAACAGCAAGAACAAAAAAGAATACAAAGAAAGAGCATAGTATAAGGACCTTCTGGGAATCTGCAGGCGTACCAACATCTGAATCACAGGGCTGCTAGAAGAAGAGGAAGAGCAAGAAACTGAAAACTTCTTTGAAAACATTGAAAGAAAACGTCCATAATTTGGCATGGAAAATAGACATACAAGTCCGGGAAGCACAGAGTCCCAAACAAGTTGGACCCAAAGAGGACCCACCAAGACACATCATTACTAAAATGCCCAAGGTGAAAGATAAATAATCTTAAAAGCAGCAAGAGAAAAGCAGACAGTTTACCTACAAAGGAGTTCTGATAAGACCATCAGCTGATTTCTCAAAGAAACCTTATAGGCAAGAAAGGGCTGGAAAGAAGTATTCCAAGTCCTGAAAGGCAAGGACCTCCATCCAAGATGGCTCTACCCAGCAAAGCCGTTACTTAGAAGGAGAAGGCAACTAAAGTGCATCCCAGACAAAGTAAAGCTAAAGGAGTTGATCATCACCAAGCCGTTATTACATGAAATGTTAAAGGGACTCATTTAAGAAAAATATCAAAACTATGATTGTTAAAATGATAACAAATTCACAACTATCAAGTGAATCTAAAAAACAAACTAAGCAAACTACCAGGAGAGGAACAGAATCACAGATATGGAGATCATCTGGAGGGTTATCAGCTGGGAAGGGGAAGGGGCAGAATGGGGGAAAAGGTGCTGGGATTAAGAAGCATAGTTGGTAGGTACAAAAAAGCAGGGGGAGGTTAAGAATAGCAAAGGAAATGGAGAAGCCAAAGAATTTATATGCACAACCCATAGACATGAACTGAGGGGGACTGCTGGACAGAAAGGGGGGACCAGGAGGAGGAGAACAAAGCAGGAAAATTGGAGCAACTGGTAATAGCAAAACAACTATATATATTTTTTTATTTTTTAAAGAATGAAACAGGAGGTATGAACAGGAGGTCTGAAACTCCAGACCCTACAGACATCAAAAAGGTAGTAAGAGTATGATGGTCAATTTTACATGTCAACTGGCCGGGTCACAGTGCCCAGATACGTGGTCAAACATTATTCTGGATGTGTCTGTGAGGGCATTTTTGATGGGACTCACAACAAAATCAGTGACCTGAGAGAGCAGATTGCCCTCCACAGTGTGGGTGGGCCTTGTCCAATCAGTTGTGTGCAAACAACTTTGACATCATTAGCCCCAAGGGAAGTGCAAACTAGAAGCACCATAAGCCAGCACACCTATTATAATGATGAAATAAAAAGCTGTGACCACAACAACGGCTGGTGAAAATGTGGAGAAACGTGATCACTCAGGCGCCGCGAGTGTGGATGGGAAATGGCGCTGCTGCTCTGGACACCAGCTCAGCAGCCTCTTCAGAAACGAAGCACACAAGTGCTGTGTCACCCAGCAGCTGTGCTCTGGGTACTTATCCCAGGGAAATGAACACTGCCGTTCACACCACAGCCTAAACACAGCATTCACAGGGTCTTTATCAGTAACAGACGGAGGTTGGAATCAGCCCAGGTGCTCTTCAACAGGTGGGAGTAAACAGACCGGCCCGCGCACACCGGGGAATGCTGTCTGTTTACCATCCGGAGGAGCACACCTACTGGCCCAGGAGACAACCTGGAGGGGTCTTCAGGAAGTTACTCTGGGTGAAGTAGCTACTTTTCCTCACTATGTGATTCTACTTACAGAGCACTAAAATGACAACATTTTAGGGGCTGAGGACAGCTTAGTAGTTGCCAGGGATTAGTGACTGGTGGGGACAATCAAGAGGTAGGTGTGGTTAAAACACGGGCAACATGAGCCCTGGCTGCTGTGGCTCAGTGGCTTGAGCACCAGCCTGCGAACCGAAGGGTCACTGCTTTGATGTCCAGTCAGGGCACACGCCTGGGTCGCAGGCCAGGTCCCCAGTAGGGGGCGCAAAAAGCAGCCACTCGTTGTTTCTCTCCCTGCCTTTCTCCCTCCCTCCCCCTCTCCATCATCTTTTGGGGTTCTTGCCTGTGGATGCAGAAACCAACGTAGATAAAACTGCACTGGATTTAACACACACACAAATATAAGTAACACCAGGAAACGCGATGGGTGGATCATATCAGTGTCGATGTCCTGCTTGTGATCTTCTACTGCGTTTTTACAAAATGGTAGTTACCCCAGGGGGAAACTAACACACAAGGGCACCTTCTCTGTTCTTCCTGGGAATTGCATGAGAATCTGTCATTACATCTGTAAAATATTCAATAAAAAATTGCCCTGCTAGGAATTCTTTCCCAGGAAATGACCAGAAGGGTCTGTAAAGGTGTAAGTGTTGCCACGCTCCTCTGAGAAGCGTCTCTGACAGAGCTGCTGCCCACCTGTGCCATGTGGCATCCGGTGACCTGCACACCACGGCCATGATGCGCCTGGACGATCGTTTTCTTAATCTACTGGCTTGTACACAGAACCTGGGCAAGATACACATCTAACTGTTTTCAGAGTGGACCTTGCCCACGAGCAAACTTTCTGGACCTGGTTCAGTGCAACCGCACCCTGGGGGGCCAAGGTCCCTGGGAGGCCAGCCCTGGCCTCCTGCCCAACTCCACTCTGGTTAAGGCTCTTGTAGCTGTGTCCCCAAAAAAGGGCTACTGCAGGCATGAGCCCCCAGAGAAAAACAGTGGGACACCTCGCACAACTACAACAGGAGCCTGCAGTTCTGCCTTTCACGGCAAAGTGACACCGAAAACTGTTCAAACAGGAAGCTGAAGCGCACTTCCTCTTTGCTAGTCCCAGGGAACTGGAGCCTCCCCTCCAGGCCCCACCCACCACAAGAGGCTTGAGAGGTCTGGGAGAAGGCGGTGATGAAGGTATCTGGGCGGGGGCTGGTACCTGCGTGGGCGGATTCCAGCGTGGGGAGTGTTCGGGTGCACCTGATGTCAGTGCCCAACTCCACCCTGTGGGCCGTGGCCACTCCGAGGCCAGCGCTGGCATCTGCCTTCCCTGCCCTCCTTCCAGCTCCCAACACGGCCTCCAGGCGCCTGCGGCCACGTAGGCAGCGGAGGGGTTTTCTGTGGGCCGGCGACGTCGGGGAAATGGGCGCCCAGATCACTTTAACTTCATATATAATCTTCACAAGTCACGAAAAATTAGTCCTTTGATTCCCGCCCCGCCCCCGCACTTAAAAATGAGAAAACGTCTTTGCTGGAGGGCCACATGAAAAGAGGCAGCGGGCGCGGTCAGGACTGCAGGATCGCTGGCTGCCCCTAGCTCTGCGATATGCCAGGCAGCATTCTGGGAAGGAGGAGCCTCCCGTGAGAACAGAAAAGAACGAAACACTGCCACTGACTTATGATAATAAACAAGTTATCAAGCGTGTGAGAAGGTCCTAAATTCCTCTGTGCCTAGCTCAGTCATGAAAAGAGCCTGAGGCTGGAGCCGAACTACTGGGCTACGAGGTTCTGCCACAGAGCAGGGGGTTGTGGGGACTATAGAGGGCGGGCTGAGGGCCACGGAGGGCTCTGGGCAGGAGGGGCGCATGCACTCACCTTACAAAGTAAGCCAAATATTGTTGAGTGAACGACTTCCTAATGATTACATTGACACTTACAAAGTGAACACATTTATCGCATTTTCATACAACATAAGCTGTAGTCCAAAACAAGGTGACAAAGGACCGGCCTCTGAACCCAATTCACCCTGCAGAAATTAGTTGGCATGCCCAGAAATGTGCATCAGGAAACTGGACATTGCACATCCGGACTTCTCACAGACGCTGAAAGGGGGCCGACGTTCCATGTGGTCAGAACCTGCTGCCGCTGGGCCTTCCCACCCGAGCTGCTGGCTGCTCGGAAGCCACAGCCAGCCACCCGAAGGCCTCCGGGCTGCCGGCCACCGCAGTGTGCGGTCCTTTTCCACGGCACATACAGGGATTGAGTTTTAATCCCTGCTCTACAGAGAACCAGACCGCGCAGGGAAGCACCTCATCGCCTTCAGGGCCCGTGGGCAAGAAGCAGGGCACTCAGTGCCGTTTCCGGGTAAGCCCGCCTCCAGGCGCCGGTTCTCGCCACTCAGGGCGCGCGGGGCACCAGGTCGCTCACAGGGGGGCTTCCCGCCCCCACCGCTCGGGCGCTCCGAGGCACGGCGGATGTAGTGCCGGTCCCGCGGCCCGGAACGCGCGAACGGACCACGCCTGGCACACCTAGCGCACCTGCTGGCTAAGCCTAGCGCCAGGCTGCGCCGCCAGGGCCCAGGGACCCTCCACCTGGGACACAGAAGCTTGGAGACAGCAGAGTATGGTCAGTCCTGCCGGGGCAGGGACCTGAACCTGAGTGGTAAGTCCGGTCCGCACGGGGTCGGAGCTGAGTCTCTGAGCACTGAGCCCTCCTAGACGGAGAGGGACCAAAACGTGAACTTGCACCTGAGCAGTACGTTCAGCTCAACTTGAGGGCGGGGCTGGCGCGCACCGTCTGCGTCTGCGCAGTCTGCTGTCGGGCCTGCGCACCGCCGCTCCGGAAGTCTTTTGCGCAGGTTCTTGGAGCTGGGCGGAGCCAGAAGGAACGCGGCGAAAGAGCTCAGCTTTTTGTTAATGCGCTTGCGCACTTCGGCTCCGCCCACGGCCCCGCCTAGTGCCGCGCGGGGCCCTGGGAGGGGCGCAGCGTCCGGCGGCGTCGCGGGCGGGCGGGTGGCGGGCGTCGGAGGCGGCGGGAGGGGCTGTGGGGGCAGACAAAGCCGTGGCGGCTAATGAATGGAGGAAGGGCGTCCGCCCGCACCGTCCGTTGTCTGCACCTGGCGGGAGCCCCGCCGCCCGAGCCCGGCGCCTGCGGTGAGTGCGCGGCCGGAGCCGGCTCTGCCTCAGCCACTAGCTCTCGCGGGGACCCTGCCGTCGGGGCCGGGCTATGCCGGGGGTCGTGGCTGGGGTCGGAGGCAGGGCTGGGGGTCGGGGCTGGGGGTCGGAGCTGGGGTCTGTCGCCTCGGTGGCCAGGCCGTGGCCGCGCCCCCGCAATACCGTCTGCACTGGGCAAGGGCCGGCGTTGGCCGCGGGGCGGACGCGGCCTCTCGTGGCCTGAACCCCGCCCGGGCCGCCCACTGGGCCGCGACACCTCCAGCTCCGGGCCTGCCTCCCGTCCCAGCCCTGGCCCCGGCTGACAGCTGGCGAGCGGCGGGCCGGGCAAGCCAGCCGGCCGGCCGGATGGTCGCCACCGAGGCACGTTTTCCGGACAGCAGGATTTTGTGGACGAAACACCTGAAGTGGTAAAAGTTGGTGCAGTCCGCTCCGCCACCGGCGCGGGGACGACGGGGGCGGCTCCCGCGGAAGGAAGCGCTCCCATGGGTGCCGCAGGGAAGGGTGAGCACGCGAGGGTCTGTGTACGCGCGGCAAGTGTCCTTTCTGCAGAGGCCGGGCCGGGTGGTGAGCCGACCAGACGGAGATCGTCCGAGAAGAGCGGTTGTTGGGTGGGGGTCACCGCGCAGGCGGCTAGGGCGGCTCCTGCAGCCCGAGACAGGTGCTGATCGCCTGTCTTTCTCGAGGCACCTCGTCTTCTGCCCCCACAGCGAATTGCCTTACAAATTATGTTTCTTGGAACTTTTCGCTGGATGTATTTCACTTACACTGGCACTTCCAGGAAGAGCAACCAGGGGCCTTGTTTAAGTGTGTTTGGGAAGCAGATGAGACGAGATCACTATCAGAATGTGCTTTTGAGATTCTCCAGTTATTGTATTTGTTTCTGGATGTGACTGTTCAGACTTAACCAGTAAAATAGCAAATCCCTCAGCACGATATCAGATGTTCTTCCAATGGCAGCTGTTTTTCTAGGCCCCAGTAAACCTGGTCACCTGTATGTTGTCTTTTCCCCTTTTCCTGTGACCACACCGCCCCATGGCGTCAGAGCTGCCAGCCTCCACCGCCCCTCTGCGTTTTCATGGCCTTTGGGTGACTTTCAGTGGACACAGCGCCACCCCCACCCCCACCCCCCTCCTCAGTGAAACAAGTGCCTGCCACGCTGGGCCTTCAGGAGAAGCTTCTGTTGGCAATTCTTGTGCTTGTAAAAAATGGGAAGTAGGTCTGTTTTGAATGACTTCAGAGCGTATCGTTCTTAAAAAATGCACTTCAGACTTGACTGAGGCCAGCTTGCTGCCTGAAACCAGGGCAGCCTGTGGCTTTCTGTAGAGAAAGACTAATTTTTTGGTATTTTCGCTATAATGTGGTGATGAAATTAGGAGACTAGGAAGGACGGAGTAGTTTTCTCTGTCTGTTGCTGTGAGTAAGCCAGATTTGAATTGTGAGCTACGTTCAGCTACTGGAGAAAGGCACCTCGGGAGAGGAAACTGCTCACGAGGAGCCTGACTGTGAACTTGGAGGGGTTCCCCTGGGGTGCCCATGAGGGGCACGCCATCTGCAGTCCTTGGAGTCCATCTGCTCGAGGGGGCTTCCGTGTCCTCGGGGAGAGCCTTGTGGCGAGTTGGGGGGATTCTGTGAGTCTTCGGAGGACACCATTCACTTACATTGAAGGAGAGCACAGATGTCTAGTCCACCTGACAGGTGGTCACCGGGCAGCGCCAAACACACGCGTGCTCCAGTTAAGTCCTGCACGCGGGCACTCTGAGGAGGTTCGTGCACAACTCAGGCTGCGCCAAGAATGTCCGGAGCCTTCGGAGAAGTGTGTAGGTGAGTCACCGGGTTGCAGTCTGAAGTCTGCGGAGCTGCTGCCTCTCGGTGCGTACTTGGTGGACGGACGTGTTGCCCGCGTTGCCCGCTGTGCCCCTCCAGGGTTCCGCACCTGCAGGAAAGGCCTTGTGGGAAAGCAGTATTCCTGCTGACGTGTTCTTGGTGCTTAGGCCTGTGACGCCGGCGTGGTTTCTGTTCTGTACGTGGACGGGCCTCCTTCACTGTCAAGACTCCCTGAACAACGTGGTGTCACGATTGTTCCCGCTGTGTTGGGTGTCTCAAGGGCTCCAGAGGTGACCTGGGGTTTCCGTGGGTGTGGCGAGGTGTGTGCAGACGCAGTGGACTCTGGAACAGCAGGGTCTTGGAGTGGGAGCGTCCGCTTATTCGTGAGTTTCTTTCAGTAACTTCTGTAAGTTGCTCTCCCTTCCTCATGGTTTTCTTGGCATTTTCTGTCCTCTACTGTGAGAATACGGTGTATAAAGACATGAACGAAGTAGGTGTTAGTGGGTTGTTTATATTACCGATGGCACTTCTGGTCAGCAGTAGGATATGAGTCCCCCATTTAGGGGGAATCCAAAGTTATTTGTGATTTTTTGACGGGGGGGGGGGCACGTGGTGCCCCTAGCGCCGCATTATTCAAGAGTCATCTGTACTTTGTCCCTCAGGTAAGGGACTCGAGTGTCCGCAGATTGCGTTATCCAAGGCGGATTCTGGAGCCCATGCCCCAGAGCATGAGGGCCGACCGGGTGTGTGTATACTCGGCTCCCTGCCCTGCCCAGCATTCGGAGAGAGGGCAGACGGGAAGGTGGAGCCGTGGGCGTGGGCGGGGCAGCGATCCCGGTCAGTGCGACCCTCCTCTGTGCCCGTGCTGGCTGTTTTCTCTTGTCTGGTCCTCCTTCAGTCCGACTTCCTTCTCCTTCCTTGTGACGACCCCTGAGAGAAGATCCGAGTGGACAAGTGACCGAGGCCCCATGGGGCCAGGAGCCTCCCTCGAGTCAGGCCAAGGCCCGCCCGCTCTCCATTGCCTGTGTTCAGTCTCCTTCTGAGTGTCTCTGCACAAAATGCACAGTCTCAGAGCCAGCGGCTTTCAGTCTTCTCGTTGCTCTTGGATTTCTAAGGCACTGCTCGAATGTCAGGACTCGAGGACATGAGCTGTGGGAATCCACTTTTCTTATGTTCTGTGTTTTACTGAATTTAGCTGCGTGAGAAGTCAGAGAGCCTCCGGTGCACTCCTACCTGCCCTCCTTCCTAACTTCCGGCCCCCCGCACTTCCAGGTCCCCAGCCCTCAGCGTCCCTGTCTTCGTCCTTCACCCCCTTTTTTTCTCACGTGAGATTGGTGGTTTTTTTATTTGAGAGAGAAAGAAACACTGATGTGAGAGAGGAACGTTGGCAGGTGGCTTCCCGTGCGTGCCTGGCAATCACACGCACGGCCGAGGTTATCTGCCCTGACCAGGAATGACCCCACAACCTGAATTGTTGGGGGGTTTTAATTTTATTTATTTATTTTTAGAGAGGAGAAGGAAGGGGGAAATAGAGAAACATCGGTATGTGGTTGTCCCTCACACGCCCCCTACTGGGGACCTGGCCTGCAACCCAGGCCTGTGCCCTGACCAGAAATTGAACTGGTGGCCCTTTGGTTCACAGGCGGGAGCTCAATCCACTGAGCCACACCAGCCAGGGCTGACCCCCAACCTTTTTTTTTTTTTTAATCCTCACATAAAGACATGCTGGTTGATTTTATAGAGAAGGGAAAGGGAGGTAGAGAGAGGGGGAGGGAAACATCAATCGGTTGCCTCTTGTATCGTCCCCAACGGGGACAGATCCAGCAACCTAGACACGTTAGACACGTATCCTGACAGGGAATCGAACTGGCAGCCTTTCAGTTCGAAGGACGAAGGTCTCAGGAACAATGCCCAGTCTACTGGGCCACACCAGCCAGCAAGTTTTTTAACTTTAATGTGGCCTGATTTATCCATCTTCCCTCAACGATCAGCCCTCTTTGGGTTTAAACCAAGCTTACAAGGATATTTTCCTGTATTCTTCACCGTTTTTCCTCCAGTGGACCATCTGCAAGGAGTTGACTTGGGGGTGGCATGCGCTGGGGGTCACGGGCGCCACTCCGTCCGCACGTCTTGTCCTGCAGCACTCGTCTGAAAGACGCTCCTCACTGCCCTGCAGCGCCTCGGGCGGCGCTGCGTCCTAGACGCAGCATCCTAGGCACTGCTCCTGGACGCCCCCGTCCGCGGTTGGTCCACTGGTCCCTCGCACCAGAATCCCTTCCTTAGTGTAGTTTCAGGAGGGTTTCTATTAAAGCTTCCTTCCTCTGAAGAACAGCAGGTACAGAAACTGCACGGAATCAGTGCATAGCTTGAAGAATTAGAAGGTGGATGCTCTTGTTACCATCGCCTGGGCCAGGAATCCACACGGGCTCTGCAGAGTCCTGCCCCCATCGGGCCTCCTCCCTCCTTGCGGACAGAAGTAACCGCTGACCTCCCTTCACTGGCAGTTCCTCTCCGACTTTTCCTCACAGTTTCACGTCCGAATAGCGAAGCGTTGCCTGTCGGTGTGACACTGCAGTCTCTTGTCATCTCCCCCACTTCCCGGAGACCCAGATTTCGCCGATCACGGTCCCCAGCCCGTGTGAAGGGTTCCTGTGACCTCGGTTCCCTGTGTGTCGGTCACTGGCTCTGGAACTTGGTCAGATTCAGGTCTGACCTCTGGTCAGTCTCCTCCATGGTGGGGGGTGCTCCATCGGGGGGTGCAGAGGTGTGGCCTCTTTCCACGCTGGCTGGCAGGCAGCACAGGCGAGCTGCGGGTTGACGCCCGCCCGGAGGAGTGGGGAGGGTGGGGCCCTGGTTGGGGCCGGTGAGGGCAGTGGGCCCTGGGCTTCCGCGGGTTCTGCAGTTCGCATGCGCATGAGGGAGGCTGGAGATCTGGAGACCGGTGCTTGATTCTCTATCGGTTTTCAAAATAATAATTTTTATCATCTTCCAAAGTGACCGATTTTTTTTTTTTGTTACGAACTCACAGATTTAAATGTGTCGGATGAGTTCTAAGGTGATTTCGGGCCTTTTTATGTGCAAATTGTCCATTTTTGGACGGTGGGGGCCTTTACAAATTGGTTCCTGGACCCTTTGACAAAACTCTGGGGCCCTTTCCAGGGCTCCTCGCTCCCCGGTGCTCCAGCGTGTCCCACAGGCACCTGCGCCCCCCGCCGCTGGGCGGAGACCGCCTGTGGGGGGCGGGGTCATCGTTCCCGGGTGTTCGCAGCGAACAGAGCTAGGTTTGCACCCGCAGGGCAGCACGTCTGTCTGACCTCTCGAGTCCCACGTCTCCCGTCGCTGTGGGCGTGGGTTCTCCAGGACGTGGAAACGAGACCCAGACTGTCCCTGCTCACTTCCCTCGCTCGTGCTGCGCAGTCTCAGAATCGCAGTGGCAGTGCAGCCACCACTGGTGTCATTTCGAAAACCAGGTAAAATGCGCTTTGGGGAGACTTCCCCGTGCTCCCAGCCTCTGCTCTGTGGCGTTCGCCCACGGTCCTTCACTCTGTCTCCGTGCGGCGGCCGCGAGGACACTCGGTGCGCGCACCCCGTCCTGGGAGGGGGGGGCGGGGGTGTGTGTTTACTTAGAGAGAAAGAGACCGACCCACAGACCGACCAGAAAAAGTCCAACTGTTGTTAATACAACGAATGAGAGGGCCTGTGTGACACGGGTGTGACCAAGGGGAGGGGACTGGAACGCGCGTGTGCACGAACAGTGACGGCTTCACTGCACTGTCAGTGCAGGGCGGGGTAGATGCACTGAGCGAGAGCGTGCGCTGTGTGGCCGTCACAGTCGAGATGAGCGCGCAGAGCAGCGAGTCTGCGTCTGATTTTGCGTTAGGCTTGAACATTCCTGCGTGGAAACTCTTCAGACCACTCAGAAGGCTGCGGCCGTGGGCACCTGGTCATCTTGACAACGTGCCTCCTCGTGCATCACGTCCCGTGGAGTTTTTGGCAAAGCTTCCGACTACCCAGTGACTCAGCCCCCTACAGCCCAGATTTGTTTCTCTACAACGTCTGGCTTTACCCAAAACTAAAATCAGGGTGAAAGGGAAGAGGTTCAAGGCCATCAGTGAGATTCGGGAAAATGCAACGGGGCAGCTGATGGTGGCGGGGAGAACCAAGGTGCCATCTTCAAAGGGGACTGAGGCGTCATTGTCCTGTGTACAGTGTTTCTCATATCTTGTATCTCCTTTAATAAATGATGCTTTTTTGTATTGCATGGCTGGAAACTTTCTAGACAGACCTTATGTCTGGCTATCTCTGTACATGTACATATGTATGAAAACATATTATTCCACATTGGGTAGAACTGACGTGCTGCGCAACTCGGTGCACGAGCATGCGTGTGCGCTCACACGCTGTGTGCTGTCTGGCAGCAGCGTCTTGGGTGGGCTGGGCTCTCTCCTGTGTGGGGCTCGGGCGGCCCCGTGCTCTGCGCACGGGTCTGGGCACAGGCCGTGACGCCGGCACCACTTCTGGCAACAGTTCATCCTTGGGTGTCCGGTGCCTCTCAGGGACCTCGCCCAGGCTGTGCTGGCCCTGGACAGGCAGGAGGTGGCCAGGGTACTCTGTCCGCCCGGCTGCTGGGGTCCGGGGCCCGCCTCCTGCCGGCTGCTGGTGAGGAGCAGGCGTCGGGGCCCAGCGGGGCAGCCACCGTCTGCTCCGGGACCCTGGCCCCCACAGCCAGGCGTGCGCTCTTCCTTCCCATTTTCTCTCCTTGCCCTCTGCCCTGGATTTTAAATGGATTGTGAGTCTGCTGAGCCAAAGACACAAACCCGTTTTTTGTCCCCACTGCTTGGCATTCTGGTTTTGGCTTATGTGGAGTTTTGGGTCTTTATATTCTGCTTGTATTTATATTAAACCTCCACCGGCGTTAGAATAAGGAAAAACAAGATTTTTGTAGGTCTTGTAAGTCTACTTATGTTACAGTGAGCGCCCTCTCCCTGGTGTACCTGCTTCCAAATGGCCAAGAACGGGTTTTTTTTTTGTTGTTTTTTTTAATATTTTATTTATTTATCTTTATAGGGGAAGGGAAGGAGAGAGGGAGAGAAACATCAATGTATGGTTGCCTTTTGTGCATCCTCTGCTGGGAAACTAGCCTGCAGGGAACTGGTCTACAACCCAGGCATGTGCCCTGACTAGGAATCGAACCGCGATTGTCTGGTTCGCAGGCCCGCGCTCAATCCACTGAGCTACACCAGCCAGGGCCAGGTTTTTGTTGTTCTGCACCTTTGCGTTAACTGCTCCACCCCGCCTCTCCCCTGCCCTGCCCTCCCCGTCACGCTTCACATCTCAGGTCATCGCGGCCACCCCTGCCTGCGCCTGCCCCTGCCCTGCGTTGGCCCTGGTCCCACACATCCTGATCGGTCATCACGGTGCGGGTCACAGCTGCTGAGGACGGCTGCTCCCTGCAGGGTTGACTCCGCTCGAGTCGGGCAGGACTCACCTCCGTTCCGGGATGCAGGGACCTCATCTTCTCTAGGACTTTCAGTGTTGAGTCTGTGCCTTGGTGACTTCAGAGGTCACTGCAGGCTTGGTATTCCTCATTGTTTATGTGTCAGGTTTGTTTGTTTTTAAGGTTTTATTTATCTCTAGAGAGGAAGGGAAGGAGAGAGGGAGAGAAACATCAATGGATGGTTGCCTCTCATGCGTCCCCCTGCTGGGAACTGGCTGCAGCCCAGGCACGTGCCCCAACTGGGAATCGAACCTCGGTTGTTTGGTTCACAGGCCCGTGCTCAATCCACTGAGCTACACCGGCCAGGGCTGTTTTTATGCCAGGTTGGAATGAAATTGACTTCAGGGAGTTCAGTTCTGCCGATTGTAACAGCACCAGGTGCCTGCAGGAGGCATCTTTGGTGGTGGGGGCACCCACTCCACACCCACTCTCGACCAGACTGACCTCTGTGCTGTTAAGGGGGTTTTCCCAGTCATTTCAACTTACATTCTCGTCTTCATTTGTATTCTAACTTATTTTGTAGTGTTAGTGTATTTTAATTATATGTAAGTAGAATCTACAAAGGTCAAGGAACGAGTTTTTCTTAATTTACCATTACAGAATTTTATTTTATGCCTCTTGAGGCTGATCTGTCCCCGGGACTGCAGGTTTGGCGTGTGGTCCAGTGAAGTGCCTGACCTGACTCCGTCTTTTGTAGGTGATGCAGGAGGACCGGCAACATGGCAGCGGTCCTGCCCCCAGGACCACGGGGAGGTCTGCGCGGGACGAGCCGGTGTCGGCGCCACCGAGCACTTGGTAGAACTCCCGGGAGGCGGTGGCCTGGGCCTGCACCCTGACAGGATGTGCCCACGAGTTACAGCCTCCACGTCCAGGCCAGACGTGTGATAGCCATATTCATAAACGTCCCGAAAGGTGCAGTCACCTCGAAAACACTGAAGATAATCACGTCTGGGGATGCAGACGAGTGTTCGCATTTTTTTACCCAAACACACAGATCAACACGATGACACAGCCAGAATAGTTATGGTCCGTTATGGAGAGTGGCCAGGAAATCCATCCCAAAGGGGACGGTGATTTTGCTTCAGAAAAAATAAATATTAAAATAGAAAAGGAAGATGACGATCAAGTTCCGAATTGCAATTCGGAAAGAATGGATTTTAAAATTGCACAAGAGGACAGGAAAGCAGCCGACAGTGGTGACGAACAGGCAGCGGCCAGAGAAGCCAGCTACAGCCGTAGGCCCCCAGGGAAGTACTTCCCCGCTGACCCCGAGGATGACTACGGGGCCCTCTTCTCGCAGTACAGCAGCACCCTGTACGACGTGGCCATGGAGGCCGTGACGCAGAGCCTGCTGTCCACCCGCAGCATGAGCTCCAGGAAGAAGTCTCCGGCCTGGAAGCACTTCTTCATCTCCCCGCGGGACAGCACGAAGGCCGTGTGTGTGTACTGCATGAAAGAGTTCAGCCGGGGCAAGAACGAGAAGGACCTGAGCACCAGCTGCCTCATGCGGCACGTGAGGAGGGCGCACCCCAGCGCGCTCATCCGCGAGGACGGCAGCGTGTCCACCCTGGCGACCCTCTCGGCCCCTGCCCTGCTGCTCCCGGCACAGCCTGCCCGCGTCTCCGACGCGGGCTCCACCGCGTCGCCCGGCAGGCCTGTTCAGAAGACCGCCTCCAAGATCCCCTCTCCCGATCGGGCGACAGAAGCGTCTGTGTCTGTCCCGTCTTCCAAAGAGGTCCGCTCCGACTCGCCCGTCCCTGAGGGATACGCCAGGGACGAACCCCACGCGGGGCCCCCTCCAGCCGTCCCTGCGCCCCCCTGTGACGACGCTGCGGAGAACGGGTTGGAGAAGAGCCTGCCGCCTCCGAAGAGCACCTCCGGGTCCCGCAGGTGGTCCGCGGTGTGGAAGCACTTCTACCTGTCCCCCCTGGACAGCTCCAAGGCCGTGTGCGTCCACTGCATGAACGAGTTCAGCAGGGGCAAGAACGGCAAGGACCTGGGCACCAGCTGCCTCATCCGGCACATGTGGCGGGCGCACCGTGCCATCGTGCTCCAGGAGAAGAGCGGGGGCGCGGGCGTGCCACCCCCTCACGCGGCGACCCCCACCCTGCTGCCCGCTCTCCCGCCTCCTGAGGGAGACCCGAGGGCTCTGTCCTCGTCACCAGGGAAGCCGGTCAAGGAGTCCTTCCTGACGTCTTGTCCCCCTGACCGGCCGACAGAGGGCACGCCAGCACGGGTGAACCCTGGGGACGCACTGACGGAAGAGTCTGTGCTGTCCTCCTCCGATGACATTGGCGAGGCCTCGCTGGTGTCCTCTCCTGAGAAGCAGCCGGGTGACGGGTCGAGCCTCCCCATGTTCGAGTCTGGTGCTATATTCCAACAGAACAAAAAGGTGATGAGGAGGCTGAAGTCGGAGGTTTGGCATCACTTCTCGCTGGCCCCCACGGACAGTCTGAAGGCTGTGTGCAGGCACTGCGGTTGTGTCATCAGCCGGGGGAAGAAGGGTGACGTGGGCACCAGCTGTTTGATGAGACATCTCTACCGGCGCCACCCAGAAGTTGTCGGGAACCAGAAGGGCTTTCTGGGGGACACTTTGGCTTCCACAGAAAGTTCCTCCTCCAGATTAACTGACTTAGCAACAGCGGTCCCCAGAAACAGTCCAGTTCTGGTTCCCGTTCACAGCAAGAAGACCTCCAAGCTGTGGAACCATTTCTCCGTCTGCTCCGCAGACCCCACTAAAGTCGCCTGCCTGCACTGTGGCCGGACGATAAGCAGGGGGAAGAAGCCCACGAACCTGGGCACCAGCTGTCTTCTCAGGCACCTACAGAGGTTCCACGGCAGTGTGCTGACGACCGACGTCCCCCAGTCCACGCCACCGCCGCCGCTGGGTGTCCGTGTGCCCCCGAGTGCAGAACTGTCAGGAACTGCCTCCTTCGATGACACCGATGAGAAGTTCTATGATTCTCATCCAGTTGCCAAAAAGATAACAAGTCTCATAGCTGAAATGATTGCACTTGACCTCCAGCCATACTCTCTTGTAGACAACGTTGGCTTTAACAGGCTGCTCGCATACTTGAAACCTCAGTACTCTTTGCCCCCGCCCTCCTACTTCTCCAGGACCGCCATCCCAGGAATGTACGATAATGTGAAAGAGATCATCGTGTCACACCTGAAGGAGGCAGAGAGCGGCGTGGTCCACTTCACGTCCGGAATCTGGATGAGTAACCAGACCCGGGAGTACCTGACGCTCACCGCTCACTGGGTCACCTTCGGCTCCTCGGTCCGGCCGCACTGTGAGGACCACCACTGTTCGGCGCTGTTGGACGTGTCACAGATGGACTGTGACTACAGCAGCAGCAGCATTCAGAAGCAGCTGGAGTGTTGGTGGGAGGCCTGGGTGACGTCCACCGGCCTTCAGGTCGGCATCACGGTGACCGACAACCCCAGCATAGGGAAGACGCTGAATGAAGGGGAGCACTCCAGCGTGCAGTGCTTCAGCCACACGGTGAACCTCATGGTCAACGAGGCCATTAAGAGCCAGCGAATGGTCCAGAACCTGCTGAGCATCGCTCGGAAGGTGTGTGAGCGGGTGCTGCGGTCACACAGAGCGAAGGAGAAGCTGGCGGAGCTGCAGAAGGAGTACGAGCTGCCGCCGCACCACCTCGTCCAGGACGTCCCGTCCAGGTGGAGCACCTCGCTGCGCATGCTCGAGCGGCTCATCGAGCAGAGGAGGGCGGTGGACGAGGTGTCCGTGGAGTGTAACTTCCGGGAGCTGATCAGCTGTGACCAGTGGGAGGTCATGCAGTCCGTGTGCCACGCGCTGAAGCCCTTCGATGCCGCGAGCCGGGAGATGAGCAGCCACGTGTCCACGCTCAGCCAGGTCATCCCCATGATCCACATCCTGACCAGGAGGGTGGAGATGCTGTTCGAGGAGACCATGGGCATCGACACCATGCTGAAGTCTCTGAAGGAAGCCATGGTGAGCCGGCTGTCTGCCACCCTCCACGACCCCAGGTACGTCTTTGCCACACTGCTGGACCCCCGCTACAAAGCCTCCCTGTTCTCCGAGGAGGAGGCCGAGCAGTACAAGCACGACTTGATCAGGGAACTGGAAATGCTGAACTCTACCTCAGAGGACGTGCCCGTCCCCAACGGGTGCGATCCGGACTCTCCGCCCAGAGACTCCAGTGGGGCCGAGAGCCTGTGGTCCCTCATGGCCAAGATGAAAAAGACAGACGCGAGAGAAAGGGCGAAGGCGCCCGAGGCCATGGTGCTCGCCTACCTGGGGGAGGAGGTGCTGGAGCACAGCTGCAGCCCGCTCACCTACTGGAACCTGAAGAGGGCGGCCTGGCCCGGCCTGGCAGCCTTGGCCGTCAGGTTCCTGGGCTGCCCCCCCAGCACCGTCCCTTCGGAAAGGCTGTTCAGCACCCCCACCGAGAACGGCGGCTTCGGCCAGTCCAGGCTTCTGATGGAACATTTTGAAAAACTTATCTTTTTAAAAGTGAACCTTCCTTTAATATACTTTCAGTATTGAAGTCACCACGGAGCCACGGGCTGCAGACGATGTCGCTCACCGGGCACCAGCTGCGGCCGGGCGGGCGGGCCCATGCCGAGCGCCCCTCCCAGACCCGCCGCAGCGTCTCCATGTGCCTTACTCCTCGTTCTTCAGGCCGGGTACATGGCGTGTTTCTTAAGAAGCCACTAGAAATAGCCAGTCTTGTCAATGATGAAATACGATGATTAAGTTTTAATCTGTAACTGTAAAGTTTTTTAAAAGCTGGGGGTAGTGACTTGTTTTACTAGAATGATATAGAAGATGTAAACAGTTTTATTCTGTACTTTTTTATTATGTAAAAACCACAAATCAGGTACTGTATTTTAGTGAAAAATTGTTTTGACTAGAACAAAACAGCCTTCATGGCTGTCCAGCAAAGGCTGCGAATCGGAGGTGGAGCTGAGCCGTCCGACCGAGCGGCGCTCCCTGCAGCTGTGCTGTGCCCGGGCTGCGGACTGTCCGGGAAGGCGCCCTCACCGCAGCGGAGGTGCGGGGAGGCGGCTGGACTGGTGTGCCTCGTGCAGCGCGGGTTACACGGCAGTGGCCCAGGAGAGCGCCCATGTCCCCTCTCTGTCCGGGTCTCACGGCCAGTCAACTTGGAGGGCCCCCGACCGTGCGTAACGTGCTCCTCGCTGCCCGGCCTCCAGCCGGGTCGCCCGCCTCACGCTCACCGCGGTCCTGGTGACCGAGCCTCCACGCCTGCCCCGGTGTCTCTGCACTCTGAAGGGGTCTTTTGAAATTTGTGTAGATTCCCCCAATTCAATGAAATCACACATAAAATTCTTTTTAGAAGCGTTGGCTTATTAACAGGGAAGAAGATTGTTATATCACAGTTGTCAGAATAGCCTTAGGTGTCTAGGTTTTTATAACGGGGAAGACTCAGCCATCACGGGTGTTTTAGAATCCCGAGGACATCAGGATGAATTGTCGCTTGTCAGATTCTTTTAACAATAATGTGTCTCAGCGTTGTTGCTTCAGCAGCTACAGGAGGGTTCATTTGCTTATTTTATACCAATGAATCAGGCCAGGTGAAGCGGGTCACTCGTTGCCCCCGACCCTGTCCGAAAGTCATCAGAAATACTGTACCCATCAGTCTGACTTCGCATCACCTGTGTTTCAGTGTATTTATAAATGGTGGACTCAGTTTCTAAAATTAAAGTTTTTATTTGCAATTTTCTACTGTCAGAGGATACTGCCTTTTTATTCCTAGGATGACGACACAGCCGTCCTCTTTGGGGGCCGACATACATAGAAACCACGTCGTGCATTTGGGGTTTGGATTTTGGCTCCAGGGAGGACGTGGGGCGGGTGAAGGTGCGGGTCCTGCCACCGCCTTTGTGAGCGAGGCGCCGACTCGGGTTCAGAGCAGGAGCCCTGCCACTGCTGCTGCCCAGAGAGAAGAGCCGGGCACAGCCTTGCGGTTGCCTTGGCCACAGAGGCGCACGCCTGTGTGGCTGTGTGCACGCTCCCGAGGCCGGCTTCTGTTCCTGGCGCCCAGGGAGCTCCGATCAGGGGCATACACGAGTGGATCGTGCTGATGTGCTTTTTCCGTAACGTGGAGTACAGACCTCTCCAGTCTGGGGTTCAGGCCGCCCGCTCTGACCAGGCCTCGGAGGTGAGTGTCGGGCTCGTGGCCTTTTATCCGGCCGGGGCTGGTAGTGGCCCCCCCAAGGCCCAGTGCCTGGGCGGGTCAGCGCGTGTCCCTCTGGCCGGGAGCCCTGACCTGGGGAGCGTTCCCCTGAAAGGGCCACACACCTGGTTTGGGGCTTTCTCAGCGGTTCAGCTCTCGACTGCTCTTCTGCTTCCAGTTCACGTGGCACAAGCTAGGACTCCTCGTCCCTTAGGGTCCTGCAGGCCACACGAGGCGCTGTGTGAGGTCGTCTAGCTCCTGTCGGGGACAGGTGCTGGCGTCCTTTCCCACCTGTGTGTTCGTGCCTCAAGGGTTTGACTCAGGTTGGAACAGTAGGGGAGCGTTCGGCACGTGAGGACAGCGAGCTGCTGGACAGCACCGTGGCCCAGTTAATTCCAGTCCATCTGAGCTCCCAGCAGAGTAGCCGCTGCTCATCCCCACACCCAGCCAGGCGGCTGTGCACATGCCCATACACCGTGCCGTTGCCCGAGTGGGCACGAAGGACTGTGCCCTCCACGCAACAGGTCTGTGCCAACTGCTGCTTCTGGTCACAGAGGTGCAGACAGGTGGGCAGCGATGTTGCTACCCCTCCCCTCCCACTGAGTTGGCCTTATCCCCACGTCCACCACGCCCCCAACACCTCTACGTAACCCTTTTCGCCTTTCAGGAGGCAGACATTCCAACTGCGTATGTGGGGGAAGGGAAGCGAAGTGTGTGTCCAAGGGAAGGCGTGGAAAACCCTGTGAAGAAATTAAGTTCATGCAAAGGCTGACCCTCGGCACAGACGCGGTCTACAGTAACAACACAAAAAATCGTAACATAAAACAGCCAACTCCACGAGGGGAAGAATCTGATTTTCAGAGGGATCATATTGCTACGTTCAAATGCACATTTTCAGCAAATAATCCCAAGTCATGAAAAGAAACTGGAGAGTACGCGCCATTCAAAGGAAGAACAAATCGACGGCAACTGTTTGTGCAAAAGGCCTGACGGCAGGTCCACCAGACAAAGACTGAACAACGGTTTTAAAGACAAGGATCCGAGAGAAGACCAGGAAAAAGTCGAGAGAGTAAAGCGTAAAAAAAATGAAAATGTTAAGGAAAACAAACCCCGAAAAGAAAAATTTGGAGCTGAAAAGAATACACGAAATGCAAAATTCACTACAAGTATTGAAAGGCAGATTCGAGCAGAAAGAAGAAAGAACCTGCCAACTTGAAGACGGGACGACTGGGAAGTGTTGAGTCTGAGAAACAGAAGAGAAGACGAACGTGAAGAGCCTGAGATCATCTGGGGGCGTGGTGGGCATGGGGATAAGGCCAGCTCAGTGGAAGGGGAGGGGTAGCAACATGGCTGCCCACCTGTCTGCACCCTCTGTGACCAGAAGCAGCAGTTGGCACAGACCCGTTACCAGAACTGGACTCGCCCACACACTGGGAGTCCCCGCAGGGGCAGGGGAAGAGCGGGGCAGAGGATGTGTGGACGTGTAATGAGCTAAAATTCCCCAAATTTGATGAAATACATTAATAAAAACATCCATGAAGGTCAGTGAACATGAAGTACGATGAACTCAAAAAGACCCACACTGAGACACTTTGTATAACAAGACGAGATCCCGAAGGCGTCGGCAGAAATGACTTGTCCCACACAAGTAATTATCGACGAGATGATCAGCAGACTTCTCATCACAAACCTTGGGAACTCAGAGACAGTGGGCAGACAGTTTCAAAGGGCTGCAAAGAACTGTCAACCAAGAGTATTATATCTAGTAAAACGTCCTTCAAAAATGAGGGACAGCCCTGGCTGGTGCGGCTCAGTGGGTCAAGCGCCAGCCTGTTGAACTAAAAGGCCACCAGTTTGATTCCCAGGCCGGGCACAGGGTGGCAGACCGGGTCCCCAGTAGGGGGCACATGAGAGGCAAGCACACATGGGTGTTTATCTCCTCTTTCTCACTCCCTTCCCATCTCTAGAAATAAATAAAATCTGTCAAAAAAACAAAAACTGAGGGATAAACTACGACACTTCCGGATAGGCAGAAGACTCAGGAGTTGGTCACCACTAGACGCTCCCCCCCACCCCCCCCGCCAGACACGCTCGGGAGGTGCTGTGATGAAGTGAACGGCCACGAGACAGCGACATGAAGACGCGCGGGGAAGTGAACTGTTCAGAAGAATGTAAACACACGGGCAAGCATAAAAACTCGTTTCACTGTAACAGTGCTTTGTAACTCCCCTTTTCCTTTCTGCCTGACTTAAAAAATTATTGATTTTGGGTTTGGGGTTCCTTATATAAGGACCTTGCAAGATGCCGCTCCATCCTACCAAGTAAAGAGCAGAGAAATGGAGAAGTCGGCAACTCTGCTCAGGTCTGTAAGACAGTGGAGGGCAGGCACGGACCCCTGCTCCCAGGGGCGTGCGCCAGGCAGACACCAGACATCACGGCTTCCTTCCTGTAGCAGAGCCAGACGCACAGGCAGGGACTGCCGTGGGCACCGGCACCTGCGGCTCCCCAGACCCTCAGCGCTGAGTTCCTAGAGGCTCAGCGGAGACGTGGCTGCAAGTTAACGCCAGGAAGACCCTGCCTGGAGTGACCCACCTCGTGGGGAGACTTTCCTCCAGAGGCACGGGCAGGTTCCCACAGGGAATATCAGAGACAAATCCCTGGTCCTTCCAGAAGGGGACATGAGCCACTGAAAAGGCACCCGAGCCCTCTGGTTTTCTTCCTTCTCCTGTTTTTCCCCTCAGAACACTGTTCTTAAGGAGGGCAGCTCACTGGAGAAACTACCACGCCAGAGCAAAACTGATGGGGGAAGGGAAGTACCCAGCGCCTGCCCCCTCCGGCCACCTGTCCCAGCCGAGGGGGAGAAGAAAACAGACTCCGTGAGGGTCACAGCGCAGAGGCACCGACCTCGCTGAAGCCCGAGCCTAATCGTAGGACCACAGAGCAGTCCCCTCCCCACGTCACCAGGCCTGTTGACAGCAGCTCCTTGCACCTGGCCCACCACACCTGGAGAAGAAAAACAGACGGGTGCGGGGAGAGCACGCCCTGACCCCGCCAGAAGTTGGGTTTGTGACTTCAGGTACAAAAGCAGCCCCACCCCTCACTGAACAAAAACACCCCAACCGATGAGCAGCCCACATGTGGAAGAGAGACCACGGGAGCAGGGAGAGGAGAGGCTGACCTCCTGCACGGGCAGCCCCCAGCCGTGACCTGGGGAAGAGAAGACCCTGAAAGCCTTGAGCGGACACCTCTGCCAAGACACCTGGAAGAATGACTGGCAACGCACGTTTTAATAATGGGCGAGTACCTACCAACGGAAGGATTTTCAGGACATCGTGGGAAATGACCAAAACTCCAAGGAGGACAGACGAGAAGTACGACCAGTCCACGTAGAGGAAAGAGAGCCCTTGGAGCCGAGGGACGACGCCCACCTCTCTCCTCTGGAAGGGGAAGAGCACCCCCCCCCCCCCCCCGCCCCGCCCTGGGAGACGCCCAGGCTCACCCGGCAGAGCGGCGGGTCGACGGGCTCAGCAGGTCCTTTCAGCCCGGCCGGCCCCGTGGAGAGGAGTTTGGCACGACCAAGCCAAGCTCAGTGTGCTGGCCCCGACCCAGCTCCCCACGCCTAGGAACTCACCGCGAAGGTGCCCCTTGAACTATGTGCGAGTACAAATGCATACGGTGAGCCGCTGCAGCCTCACCTGAAGTGTGGAAATACTGCCAACCGCTAAATGCCCGCACCCTGGGGAGGGAAGAGCGGATGTCCACGTGACACTGGGCCACGTGAGCCAATCCCGGGGCGGAGCTCTCTGGGGACAGGCCGGGCGGCCGCAGGTGCTCTAGAAGAGCTGATGATACAGGATGCTGCCACGGGTGTGATTAACGGAGGGGTCTGCTCGCCGTCACAAAAGGCAGCACAAGAAGGACCACCGGGAACCACGGTGCTGACGGAAAGCGGAGGGAGCAGCGCCCCTGCAGACTCTGCCCAGGTCCAACCGACTGGAAGGACGCGGAGTCTGACCCTGAGGTGGGAAGCAAAGAGCAGGAGTCCAGTGACATGTCCCGATGGAGAGCACGGCCACAGCCAGGGGGCGCTGGTCCGAGGGCAGTGTCTGACCGTGAAGAATGCAGAACCCGAGCCCCGTTTCCTGGGCTGTTCCCACAGGAGTCTGGCAAAGCCGTTCCACACTGGCCACCCTGCTGGACAAACGCGTTGCTGTCTCCGGGCTGAGGACCCTACTGTGGGAGTTGGGAAAGCAGTGGACCAGGGGCAGGAGCACAGCCCACAGACGGGTGAGACCACAGGTGTCAGCAGGCAGCTGGATTTGTGCGTGTGGTCGTGCGTGTGTGCAGCCCCTCCCCCACCCCGTTCTGTCCACCTCCGCCCACAGCAAGGACCGTGCAGCCGACCTCGCCAGCAGCAATGAGCTCATTCCGCACCAGCCCTCGGTCTGTGAACCTGTTCCCCACCAACAGGAGCCGCCAGAGAAAACATCTGGGTGCCGGGCGGGGACAGAGGCCAGGAGGAGTGTGGGCGTGCGGAACAGGAAAGCGCCCCAGAAATGAACAGCGACAGGGCACGTGACAGGGCGGGGCAGCCCCACAGGCTCCTGGGCGAGGCCTGCAGCCGGAACACCAAGGGGAGGAGGTGCGGGGACTCCCAGGCCAACGGCTCCAGCCGGCGACCAGCGCACACACCGGGTCGTCAACGACAACACCTGAACACCGGCCGCAGATAAACGGCAAGTACCGAGGACGCACAGTAAACCGGGGCCTGTGGGACTTCACACGTGCGCAGCGCTCCGTGCCAACGGGCAGGCCCCGAGCTGGGGACGGCTGCGAGAGGCCCCGGTCTGAAGGGGCCGCAGACTGTGGGTCACACTGGGGAAGACGTGGCCGCGAGGCATCTTTCCCAGGACACGCGGGCAGTTGGGGGCACAGGGCACACAGCAGGCAACTCCCCCTCGAACGCTCAGGCGACAATAGTGTGCTTTTATGCATGTGTGTGTGGTACGTGTGTGCACACGTGTGCACTGTTCTCTGTAATGACTTGGATGTCAGACACACTTGGGCTGCTTGATAAATGAGGTTCAGCAAATCATAAAAGTGCCAAAATCACCTTAAAAGTAAAATCCAGGTGAAGGTGCTCTCTGGAAACATGACGCATATACGACCACTAACAAGAAAAGATTTACAAATTTTAATTCTCGTGCCGTCTGAACATGTGTGTGTGCTGAAGCGCCCCTGAGGTGGAACCTGCCCCATGACCACGACAGGGAGCTGGTGGCCGCTCAGGAGCAGCCCGCTGTCCCCGCCACTGCGCCCAGGACCCTCGTGCTCACCAGCAGTGAGCGGTGTGGCCACGGGGCTGTGCTCGGGCGTGGTGGCCAGCAGGTGCAGCCTGCCCCTCAGACCCGGTGGGAAGCGCTCCGTGGCCCCAGGATTATTACCCTGCTGTCTCATGCCACACGCTGGAGGAGCCTGGGAGACGCTGTCCGGTCCCCTCAGGAGGGCCCCAGGAGTCTCTCCAGAAGCACCACCTTTGTCTGTAGGTGGACGTTGAAAGGAGGCAGCCTGGTCAGGTTCAGACTCACCCCGGTGGTGCCCGCGACCCTGGCCAGCACCCGGTGTGTGTCCCTGTAGAGGGCCAGGCGCTCGGGCGTGGCCTCCACCAGCAGGTGCGTGTAGGCCAGCATGCGCTCTGACCCAGGCCGCACGTCCTCCCTCTTCTCGTACCTGCAAGGCAGGAGCGCACATGTGCCCACTCCACGGCCCCACACCTGCCCCGCGCCCCGGGCAACCCCGGGGAGCCCCTGGGAGAAGGGCCGCCACCGCCACCCGCAGTCACATCCCGAAGGGAACATACCTCCAGGCGCCATTGACCTCCAGAAACCGAGACACGCCCGTCTGCGCGGCAGCCACGTCGATGTGCAGGACGACGTCTGTGGAAAGCCGCACGCGCTCGGTCAGACCGCAGCCGGGCGCCTCCGACCCGGCCGCGCTGATCCCCGAACTGAGTGCCCACCTGCCTGGGGGGGCACCAGCTCATGCAACCTCTGCATGGCCACGCCCCCGGGGTAGTTGAAGTGGGACACGTACAGGGCCGTGGCAGAGTAGGCGGCGTTTGCCACCAGGTGCCCAATCACCAGGAGCGAGCCCGCTCTGAACAGCCAAGACTTCCGGTGGTTGTTCAGCCTGGGGAGAGAGCGGTGTGTCTGGCGGGGACTGCGCCATGGCACAGGCGGGAGATGCGGCACTGGGGACACAACCCGGCCGCCACCTTCGCCAAGGAGAGAGAGAAACTAGTAGAGGAAGTGGATAAAGCTACCTAAAAACTCCCCTCTGTGAGATGCCACCCGAGACGGCACCTGAAAACTGCTCTTGGAGTCGGAGTCTGACTCAGACCGGGGCACAGCCCGCAGGCCGAGCCCCGCGCTCCGCCGGGCGTGTATGCAGGAGCAGGGGCCACCCACAGACCGTGAGGCCCACACAGGGAGAATGAGGTGCCTCGGGACCGTCGGCTTCAGAACCCATCACACCCTGTGCTCGTCGGTTCTCGGCACTCACGGAGCCCGGAACGAGTCAGCGGTGAGTACCAAGCACCACTGCCTGCTCCTCCGGCAGCTCAGGGGACCTGCGGCCAGACTCTGGGCAGGCCCTGCTGGGCTCTCCCCGACGTGGCCTTGACCAGTGGGGACTGCAGACCCTCCGCGTAATGCCTTCACCCACCACCGGTCAAGGCGGCACCCTCCTGAGGGAGCCCCATGATGCCAGCGCTCACTGTGTTCCGCCCACTCCTGGCGATGGGGAGGTAGCCCCAGACCACGCACAGACAGCTCGAAAATGTAAGTCTCATCTTTGCCCTTCAGGACGCAAACCCACCACCCAAACCTTCACCCCAGGACCCGGAGTTAATGTTCACGAAGGCACCTGCTGTGCGTGTCCCTCTGGGAGGAGAGGGACCCGGCACACCACCGCTTCCTGCCACAGACGTACAGCCTGCAGTCTCCGGTCCCCGACTGACCCGATCTCCCCGACGTGCCTCTGGCTGGGGAAGACGGGCTCGGTGCCCCAGCGCCTTCCCCTCGCTCGGGGCTTCGTGGAGACGGGAAGTGCCGAGGCCGGCGAGTCCGACCCATGCTCCTCTGATGCCCGTGTTCTGTGCGCTCGGTCCCCTCTCTCCCGGTCCCCCAGGGAGAGCCAGCCTGCAGCTCTGAGTGCCCTCCCCCCGCCCCCCACGAGCCAGTCTGGGAGGCTCCCGCCTGACCGTTCCGAACGTCCTGCCCCCAAGTGGCCAAGCCCTGAACGCTCAGCAGGGCCGTGTGCAGACAAGCCTGAGAGGCACATCCGCCTCCACTGGAGACAGAGACGGGCTGGGCTGGGCCGAGCCACCGCCAGTGCGCGGCCCCGGTGCAGCGACCGCTGCCACAACAGCCGGGGCTGCCCTGCTGCCCTGCAGAGCCAGCCCCCCGAGCGCCGCTGGCGCCGGCACTCACAGGTAGGCGCAGCCCCGGGCGGCCACGGCGTTGAGCAGGGGGAAGGTGTAGATGATGAAACGCAGCTCCTTGTGCGGCAGCAGCGAGTACAGGCCCACGAAGCCCAGGGCCGGCAGGAGCAGCGCCAGGGCCCTCCTGTCCACGAGGCCCAGGGGCACGAAGAGCAGGCTGCCGCCCAGGCCTCGGGGCAGGGCCGAGTAGAAGTACCACAGCAGGGGCGAGGTCTGGGCCGGAGGGTTAAGGAGGGCCCCGGGCCGGCGAGGCCGGGAGCACTCGGAAGACAGGGCCCTGACAGCTGTCCCCGCCCGGGGGCCCGGGACCCCTTCGCCCGTGGACAGAGGCCGGGACCCTGCATGAGCGCCCGCATCGAGTCCAGCAGACGGCGACGGGGGCTGTGCGGGGCCTTGACCTGCCCGCCCATCTCTGGGAACGGCCGTCCCAGGTGATGGCTCCCCGGGGACTCAGTGCACGGTGCGTCCACGAGCGCGTTTAGCTCCCGCGAGAAGACGTTAGAAAGCAGAGCACACCGGACCCCAGAGAAGCCGGGGTTCCCAGAGCAAGGTGGCATTCCCACAGGGCAGGCAGCCATGGGGACGTCCCCCTCACCGCGCCTGCTGGCACCTCCCCAGGTGGACAGGGTGGACAGCGCCAGTCCTGGCGTTTGGGCAGCGGCAGTGGCCACCACGCACCCCTCAGAGCGCCTGTCGGGCCCCGTCTCGTGCCTGGCAGGCCGCCCCACAGCGGGCGGGCAAAGGATACCCCCCAGTTGGAGCTTTTGTTCTGGACGACGTTGTACCAGAGCACCGCTCCCTCCGGCCACACCAGGTAGCGCCAGAAGTAGGAGTCCACAGCCACTGTCAGTCCTGACGGAGGAACACGGGTCCTCAGGGGAGGACGCAGACCGCCCTGAGCCCTGGGTCCCGGGTCTGTGTCCCCGCGGAGCTGCCTCTGGGGCTCAGCCCAGACCCTGGGCGCCATCAGCTGCGTGGGCAGGAGCGGGTGCGTCAGGGCTGAGGAGGCCGCAGCGCCGAGTGGGGACGCCTGGCAGCAGAGGGAGAAGAGGCCCTGACGCCACTCACAGCTCGCGCAGGCTCGTCTGACGGCCAGACACCCACCCGCCCTCTCCTCCTCCCGTCTGTGAAAGGAGACCACCACGCGCCGCCTCCGGGCGGGAGGGCTGCCCACCCACTCACCGAGGCAGAGCAGGCCGGCGGGCAGGGCGCAGCGCAGGGCCTTGGCCACTGTCAGCCGCCGGGTGCAGAGCAGCAGCAGCAGCACGAGGCCCAGGAGCAGGCTCAGCTCAGCCCTGAAGACCAGGATGGCCAGCGCCGAGAGCCAGATGAAGCGGGCCCACCGCCGCTGCAGCCAGGCCGTGAGGGCCAGCAGCACTGTGAACACGGCAAGACGCAGGGGTTTGCTTCTCCCGCGAGGGCCACGCTGAACCCGCAGGAGATGGCGAACCCCGCTCGAGCCCAGGACTGTCCTGCCCATCACTCAGCCCGGACCCCGGAGGTTGCGGACCCCCTGGTCCGTATCTGGAGCCTCGGGCCCCCCACATGCAGTGCCCACCTTGGCCAACTCCACTCTAGTCCCACCAGGCCCCGAACCCGCACCATCCTTGACCTCCCCGGGGTCCCTCCTGTCTGCCTGGGGCTCCCGCAAAGTACCCAGAGCGAGCTGCCCACCTGCCCCAGGTCACACCCCGGCACCAGGAACCCTCCCAGGTGCGTCTTTTGTGGAAAAGAGCAACTGGACCCGGCAGAGAACAGATAGCACTTCCCGTCGCAGGCCATCCTGTCACAACACCCTGTGGGGGCAGCTGCCATCTGGAACCCACTCACCTGTCACCTGGCGGGGTGCCCTGAGCCCAGCAAGAGGCGTGGGGACCAGCGAGGGGCTTGCCCGGCAGCTACGTACCCACGGGCAGGGCCAGCACGTTGGGCAGTGTCCGCGTGCAGTAGAACATCAGGTGGAACTGTGTGGCCGTCACCCAGCAGAACACGGTGGCTGCTGTGGCCCCAAACTGCCGCCGCACTTCTTTTTGCAAAGTCCAGAGTCCAGAAACCACTCCGAGTCCGAGGACCGCTCTGACTAAACAAGGATGGTGACCCGTGCGTGACCAGCAGGTCAGCGGGTCTCTGACACTGACGTGTGGTGGTCAGCAAGCGACCAGGTGACAGTGAAACAACCCGAAGGGCTTGGCATTAAAAACGGCCTGGGCATGGGGGACAGATGCCCTGGGCCTGGCCCCAGGGCTTTCCCGGGACTGCACGGCCTGGGACCAGGCAGGCAGTGTCCATCCCAGGCGACCAGCCCAGCACTCACACCAGAGGCCCCACCGTGGCTGTGCCAGCCAGGGGCTCCCGCTGTCCCCCGTGACCAGCCGGCCTGTCTAGCTGCCCTTCCGAGAGCCCCGCCGCCCCTCCGCAGGGAGCCGACCCTGGCACAGGCTCCGTGAGAGCGTTTGCGTCTGTGAGGGAAGCCTGCTGTCTGTGTCTGGGTGAGGAGAAAGGCGCCGCAATGGAAAAGCAGAGGTCCCGGCTAGAAAGTGAGGTCGCAGACCTCTCTGCGGAGAACTTTTTAAATTGGGCTCCAAGAAAAGTCCAGAAGGATCTGCACAGGCAACCTCTGAGCAGAAAGGTGCCAATGCCCTCATTTCAGTGTCGGGAGGCGCTCAGTTCTCTGTCCCAGGCGCCGCCCCAGAAAGGGCTGACGGCCGACTTGGACCAGTGCTCTGAACGGCCACACTGCAAGGCCCAGCACAGCCAAGATCCACCGGCGGACACCAATGAAGGGGCCTCCAGGTGGCTGCCTGAGGTAGCCAGACCTCGCAATGGTGCTTCCGTCCCCATTCGAAGGCCCCTGTCCTTACCTGTCAGTTGAGAATAGAACTTGGACCATCCCAGCAGCGAGAGCACACAGACCGCAGGGCTGGACAGCACCGCGATCACCAGTGGCCCGAGGAATGTCCTGGGGACCACACCTGGGAACTCCAGGTGGTCGTACTGCAGAGGGAGGGCAAGGTCAGCAGAGGCCCCGGGACTTGGGGAGGACGCGGCAGCAGGCGCCGGACTCACCTGCCCCACCTGCAGCCGGTGGAAGAGCAGGTCGTGCACAGCTTGGAGGCTGAAGCTCTCCTCCACCTTGGTGTAGGGGCAGGCGGCCAGGTGGACGGCGGCCACAGCGACCAGCAGGCCCAGCAGCAGGCGCTGCCTGCCCGAGCCCCGCAGCCTCTTCCCGGACATTCCAGGCTTCACCTTCACGCCCCGCGCGTCACCAGCCATCAGCACTGCCACTCTGGGAGCATTTCACAGCAACAACGGAGACCCCCCCGTCTCAAAAATCACAGCTGAGGCAACATCCGGGAGATGTGGGTGGAGGGTAAGCGGGAATGCTTGTCGCAGCTTCTGAAAGCCTACAAGCACATGGAAACAGTCTTTACACAAACACACCTGAGCGGCGTTCTCACACCCATCAGCTACCTTACACGAGTCCGGGTGAGTGTTTCCACCAAGGAACCTGAACCTGAGCTTCATCCTGCGCGTGGCCCGGCCCCCCAGGGCAGGACACCCGAACTCGGCCTGGCCCCCTGGCCCCGCTCCAGTCTGGGCGGAAGCTGTGAGGCAGCAGCACAGAAAGGGGCCCAGGGCCACCAGAGAAGCCCCTGTGCCCGCCCGGTTGCCTTCTTGACAGCCTGTGAGCAGCTGTGTGGCACCCGGCTGGTCGAAAATGTGAATACATGGGTGGGAAGAAGGGTGTAGCTGTGGGGCTGCTACTCCCTTTGAGGGGCCGGGGTAGCTGTGGACCCCCTGCAATGGACCACCCATGCGCCAACAGGCGATTGGGGGTGGGGCGACATGGGGTGTGGGAGCGTGCAGTCAGCTCCCGCCTGGGAGACCCGGGCCTGTCAAACAGGGGAGGAGAGGTGGCAGCTTCTTCTTTGAGTTTCGGCCTTTCCTTTAAAAGGGTCTGACTCTGTCTGGGCAAAGCCAGAAAGGCCAGAAGGACACGGCGTGTCCCGTGGCACTGTCTGTTAAGCTTTAAGGAGTCTGTGCTCTCGCCAGACAGCAAGTGGGGCTCCAATAGGTGAGGAAGAGCTGCAGGTGAGAAGGGCCAGGGGTCAGCTGGATTCCACCAGGGTGGCGGGGGGGGGGGGGGGGGGCAAGGGGAACAGGCTGTCATAACTTGAACCACCCAAAAAGTACAGTATCTCTTAGAGGTGACTTATTTTTCCCTTCCAAATATAAAAACAGCCCATGGGAAGATTATCTCCTTTATCTTCCCCTTTCTAAACCATAAGCTCCAGAAGTGTGGGATTTTTCTGGTTCCTTTCTGCCCCCCGCCCCCCACAGCAACCTCAGCAAGGAGAGTGGAACCCGGTCACCAAGCCAGGTACAGAACCCTGCCGGGTGGGAGGGGCCTTCCACTGCCCCCCTGTGGGTTTCTATCCTGTGCCCAGGGTCACTAGGCTGACTCATCTCTGCATCAGCAGGGCCTGGCACACAGTAGGTGCTCAACAAACTAACTGAAGGAATTTGATAAAAACTCTCTCTCAAGTATGGTTGTCATTCCAGCAGCTTACATTTTCACTGAGAATATCTAGTGCTTTAATTCCCAAGGCGAGACCAGAGAACACCCACAGCTACTCTATTCCTCTTCCTGCTTCCCAGGGAGAGTTTAAGGAAACAGGAAGCGTCTACCCTGTCGAACTGTGGAAACCACTGCAGGGCAGGGACCTGCCACACCTCCCAGCCGTCTTGGTCCACCACCAACGGGCCTGTCCCTGCAGACCCTGCCCACACCGAAGGCGCCAGGGATGCTCTCCTGAGTGCAGAACTCGGCCCCTGCCAGGCCCCAAGGCCTTCTCACCCACAGGACATGTGGCCGAGGGCAGAAACAGACAGCCAAGCACGGGCAGCACCCGGTCTCAGCCACACGCTCTCAGGACCATGGGACGACACGGGACCCAGGGTCACCCCACCACCGGACTCCGGAGGGTGGGTGACGCTGGTCCGCACTGGTCCACCTCGCTCGGCAACTACCCTCGGGCTAACTAACACCAGCCGTTCTAGGGAACCTCGGCATCTGGAGCCAGGAATGAGCTCCCGGGGCCTCCGGACCCTTCGACCCGCAATCTGCGGCCTCTACTGAAGCTGGTCAAATCAGACTTTCCAAGCGTTAGCCCCTCGGCTGCAAACACGAACGACTGGGAAAACCAGGCTGGTCGCCAGCCAAACAGCGGAGAAAACTTGGTATCACGTGCACTTCTTCCTTCTGGCAGGTACGTCCTACTGGAGCCCAGATAGGGTTGATCTTCCTGCCCCTCATCGAAACCACTGTCCGGTGCCCTCGCCGGGGCACCGGCGGAAATGCGGGTTCCGGGGCCTCGCAAGATACTTCTCAGGCCCCAGGTAAGGAGCCCGGCCCCAGGTGGAGAGGCCCGGCGGCTGTCCCACGAGAACACACAGAAAGGCCGGTGGAGCGCAGCGCACGCTTCAGTTCCGGATCCCCGCCGCTCACCCCGAGAGCCCTGGTCGCTGCAGCGCACGCTTACCACGCGCGCCCGCGGAGTTGTCCTCCACAGCACTGCTCCCTCAGCTGCACCAGCTGGCCCAACTCCCCACGGCCGAAAGACGGGTAGCGGAAGCGAGCTGGGAGGTGCAGACCTTGCCCGAACCTAACATGGCCACCAAAGCCTAGCCGCTCTGGCGGCGGGCGCCCTCCTTACCCGGAACAAAGATGGCCGCCACGGGCGGACGCGAGAGGCGGGGCCGAGGGGTGTGTTCAGACCTCCACGCTCCCTTTCCCATCTTTCTCTGAGGGACGCTGACCCGGGACCTTCCCATTGGCCACTTCTCGTGGCGAGCTCTGATTGGTCCACATGGGGAAGGGAAGGCTACCCCAGACCAATAGCGGTGCGAAGAATGGCGGGGGGCGGGGCCCCATCTGGCTCGGTCAAGTAGTCCCGGGAACTGCCGGCGCCGGTGAGCCGGTGGGCGGCCGGAGGCTTCAGCTCTCCGCTGCTCCTTCCCGACCTCGGCCGTTGCCCGCGCGGCCGCGTCCTTGCACCGCTGCCCGCTCGGCCCGCCATGCGCCCGCCGGCCCTGGCCACTCTGGGGCTGCTGCTGGTGGGGCTGTTGCTGCTGCCCGGCGAGGCCGCCCAGAAGCCGACACCCTGCCAGAGCTGCCGTCAGCTGGTGGACAAGTTCAACCAGGTGGGCTAGCGGCGCGGGACTCGCAGCTTGGGGAGTGGGACACAGAGCCAGGGTCAACCCACGCCGGACCCGGGACCTCCATATGGGCTGGGGTCACCCCAGCACAGACCAGTCAGCCCATGCGCTGGAGCCTCACGCCCATGCTCTCCCCGCAGGGAATGGTGGACACGGCCAAGAAGAACTTCGGCGGTGGGAACACGGCGTGGGAGGAGAAGTCGCTGTCCAAGTATGAATTCAGGTGGGCGCCCGCCCAGCTCCGAGCCCTTGGGCATTCCTGGGATATGTGTGGGGGCCACGGAAGCCGCCACCCTGCACTCCTGGCGGCATCCAGGCAGGTGGGTTAGGAGGGACCCTCAGCTGGGTGCGAGAGGGCAGCGCCCAGGCCCGGTGGGAGCAGCCGGCCCCAGCTCCCACGTGTATGACAGGCACAGAGAGTCCCTTCAGCTCAGCCACCCGTTCTCTGGCCTGGGACAGACCCACTGGCTCCTTACTGGCCTGTAGGCTTCCCTGCCGTGCAACAGACTTGGTGGCCTCTCAAACGTGCACCTTGGGGACAGAGTCCCAGCCATACGAACTATTTGTGGCTCCTCCTCTGTCTGGAGCTGTGAGCTTCAGGGTCTTCCCTGGGGACCCCACCCTGCCCTCCGTCACCCTGAGGATGAAGGGGTCTCTGACTGCCCATGTCCCCTCCAATTCAAGCCCCCGCATGCAACTCAAGACCGCCCCCCATCCCCAGTGGGTGTGTTTGTCGAGTCTTTTATCGCTAAAGCGGCCCTTGCGTACGTAGCCCTGGCCCGGCACCCGGTGGGGCACGCGCTGACCTCGGACCTGCGGGCTGTGTTGCAGCGAGGTCCGCCTCCTGGAGATCGTGGAGGGCCTGTGCGGGAGCAGCGACTTCGAGTGCAACCGCCTGCTGGAGGAGCAGGAGGAGCTGCTGGAGGCCTGGTGGCTGCGGCTGTGAGTGCGCCTGCACCATCCTTCCCGGTGGGGGTGGGGCCGCCGGAACCCCCCAGGGCTTCGTTTTTAATGCAAGGTTTGAGAGAACTTCAGACTCAGAGAAGTTACAAACACCTGTCTTTCTGCTCCCGTCACATCTGTGCCCACGGTGCAGCAATCAGCAGGGAAGTCGGCCGGAAGAGTGCCTGCACCTGGCTGTCCCTTCCCAGGTCTCCTGACACCTGCGGCGCACATGGCAGGGAGCCGAACCTTTGTCCTGGGAGAGCTAACGGAGCCTTTTCAATCCGTAGGAAGAAGGAGCACCCTGACTTATTTGAGTGGTTTTGTGTGAGAACGCTGAAAGTTTGCTGTTCTCCGGGAACGTACGGACCGGACTGCCGTGGTAGGTTTTTCTCGGGGAGACCCTGAGTCACCCGTCGTCATTCCCAATGGGCAGAGCATGGGAGGGAACTGGGGCCAGCTGCTCCCACCAGGCCTGGGCGCCGCCTTCTCTGCACCCAGCTGAGGGTCCCTCCTAACCCACCTGCCTGGATGCTGCCAGGGGTGCAGGGCGGCAGCTTCCGTTGCCCCTGCACAGTGCTGCTCACAGCAAGGACCGGTCTGTGAGAGGCCAGGGCCAGGGGGTGTCTGTTGGGCGGCACACGTCACAGTTAGCCTCAGTGGGTGAGTCAGGGCTCAGCCACAGCTGGCTTTGGGGCATCGCCAAAGTCACTTGTGTGGTCAGTTGGAGCATTTGACTCCATTTTTGAGCTGAGACTCTTACTGGCTGCAGCCACCTCCCATCTGCTTTTCCTGCTGTCCCAGTGACACGTGGCCACAGCTCCACACGCCCCAGGTACAAACGTCCTCATCCCAGGTTTTGGGGAGGCTGCCCAGACCCTTCCTTGAGCTCTCAGGCTCACGCATCCTGAGAGTCGTGCTAGCTTTAGGGTTAAAGTGGGGTTTGGATTTCAGCAAGGCACCCAGAGACTTACTTTGATTGTGTGGCGGGTGAGTGAAGGGGTGTCTTCTCTGTGTGCGAACGTGCCCTGAGTTCCGCTGACACCGTCTGGGTCCCCGCAGAGTGCCAGGGCGGGTCTGCGAGGCCCTGCAGTGGGAACGGCCGGTGCAGCGGAGACGGCAGCAGAGAGGGGGACGGGGCCTGCCAGTGCCACCCAGGGTACCGTGGGGCTCTGTGCTCCGACTGCGTGGACGGCTACTTCAGCTCACTGAGGAACGAGACACACAGCGTGTGCACAGGTAACACGCTGGCGCCCGTCTGCGGTGGCAGGACTTGGCCCTTCCAGAGCCCCTGCAGAGGTGGGGCCGGGGGCTGCGGGTCTCCGACCCCAGACGGTCAGGATGTATGACAGGAAGGGATAAGACCAGCACATCGCTGGGGTCCCACTTCCTGTCCCCACACAACCCCCAGAGGAGAAGAGTGTCAGGTTTCTCCTGACTTCTTCCGGAGAGGACCCTGGGGTCAGCAGCTCTGTGGCAACCACAACAGTTTTAGTCTGTGACCTGGCAGTGGCGTGTCCCTGCACAGGGCCTGCCCCCCACCCCCCGCCCCCCACTCTCCTGCAGGACGGCTGGCCTTGCAGTGCTGTGCTGGGTGTCTGTGGGTGCGATGCGGGCGGCGGGGTTCAGAGGAGCCTGCCGTCACTCACTGTGGAGACAGGGTGGGGAGGTGGCACAGGTGAGAACTGAATGCGGGAGGCCACAAGCCGTGACGTCCGGCCTTAGGCCCCTTCTAGAGGACACACTGTCGTGGTGACCTGTGTGGGGTGAGGTGGGTCTTCCTACCTGGTTTTCAGTGGCCTTGCCTTCCCCACCCCCAGTGGAATCTCACACAGACAGGCCGGCTCAGCTGAGATCGGCCTTGCCGGCCATTCCGGTGGCCTGGGAGCGGAGGGCACGCCCTCCCCCACCCACAGCCCAGGGCGAGCGCCTAGGGTGGCTCGCTGACTGTCCTGCTCAGGGGTGGGCTGTGACAGTGGGGCCGGTGATGAGGGGCGGCCTTGTCAGCAGTGCTCACGGGTGCCGCTCCCTGGCTGTCCCCCGCGGTCAGTGTGGCAGTCGCTCGCCCTGCAGTGCCCTGTCCGGGGCGGCCGAGCGCAGCGGGCCCAGCAGCCAGGGAGCTGTGCAGAGGTCCCTCTCGGTCCTCGTTTGCCGAGGGGACACTGCCCACGGGCGTGGAAAGCCCGTGGGGCGCTGCGAATCACACGAGCACGGCCTTCTGTCGGGGAGCGAGTCTGGCCGTTGCCGGGACTTTTTTGTCCGTTTTCGGTTTTTGTTTGCACCTGCCGAACGTGAACCCCTCACAGCGGCGGCGGGGGTGGGGTTCACGCGCACTGACAGCGTCCGCTCTGCCTTCCAGCCTGTGACGAGTCCTGCAAGACGTGCACCGGCCCCACCAACAGGGACTGCGCCCAGTGCGAGGCGGGCTGGGCCCGGGAGGACGGCGCCTGCGTGGGTGAGGGCGCCGCCTCGTCCCCTGCTCCCCGTCCCCCGCTCCCCCCAGCCCCCCGCTTCCCCGTGGGGTTTGTGCTGGCCCTTCCCAGGTGGGCTAGCTTTGACCGGCAGCTCCACTGGGGACTTGTGGGGAAGGTAGCTATGCCCTTCTGTGTCACGTTTCAATGGTCCCGGGACACGTGTCACCCACAGCTGGTGGCAGGTGCAGCCACTTTTAGGAAGGAGTCTTTTGGGTTCCTGGGTCCCTCCACCCCTCTGCCGCCCCCACTCGGGCTCACGCCCTGGTTTCATGAGGGGCAGATCAAGGGCGCTGATGGGAATGGGGGGGGGCCGCGTGGCCTCTGCCCAGACGGGACTCCGAACAGCGCCACAGGCAGGTCCTGCTGCTCTCAGGCCTGCAGACGTACCTGGGCTGGGGAGCCGCACTGGCGAGCCTGGTGGCCACAGCGTCTGCCTGGTCCGTCCACGTGGCCACGGGGGCAGCAGCTCCCCGACGCACCCCTGCCCTGGGCACCTCTTGCCACACAGACATGAGGCCCCAGGCACGTCTCCCCGCCCATCCGTCCCCTCCCATCCAGCCTGGTGGCTGCCACCTGCTATGGTGCGTCCTTTCCTTTGGCTCCCCCGGCCCTGCGGCGTCTCGGAGCCCGGGCCCCACAGGCCCACATCGATGGTCACCGTCCCCCACCAGAGCTGCGTGGCCTGGCCCCATCTCCAGGGGGAGGAAAGCGCCTGCCCCGTCCTGGCCACGATGCAGGGCTCGTGTGAGGCCGTGTGGACACGGATGCTCGCACAGTAACCCCTGTGTGGGGGCACCAGGGGTCCCTCGTCCCCACCCCTGCAAGAGGCCTCCAAGCATGGCCATCGAAGCTCGTTCTCCACACCATGGTCACTTCCCTCGGGCTGGTCCTGGCCACGGGAGGAGGCGTTGGTGGCCGGCTGTGTGGTTGGGAAGGTGGCAGGGCCTCTGCTCACAGCTGCGCCTTGTGTTCCAGACGTGGACGAGTGCGCGGCGGAGACGCCCCCCTGCGGCCCACAGCAGCACTGCCAGAACGTCGGCGGCTCCTTCCACTGCGAAGGTGCGGCTGGCGTCTGCCCCTCCCGCTCGGGTTCTCAGCCCGGCCCCACACGCCCTCTGCAGTGGCCGCCCGAGGAGCAGGCGACCGGCTGTAGCGCAGTCAGAAAGCTGTCCGTTCACCTGTCAGGCGCTGCGCCTCGCTGGTGGCCATCCACGTGTCACCGAGTTTTGCATCCTGCTCAGGATTTCGGAGCACGCCATGACCCCACAGCTTGCAGTCAGGGATGCTGGGCGCCATGGGTGCTGTGAACACCCTCGCGGGAGAGCTTTCGCGTTTGCAGGGTGCCCGGTGGGGCTGTGCTGGATGGGGCCGCCTCTCCTGGGGTTGGGGTTGGCGCAGGGCACTCATCGGCACAGGGCGTGGTGGCGGGGGTCTCCGCTATCGCTACGAAGCTCCCTGTTGGCAGCTCCTGGCAGGGGGCGGGGGTGGGGCGGTTCGGAGGACCGCCGTCCCTGCAGCTTCCACAGGGGTTCGCAGGGGTTGGTGCCTCGGCTCCTGGGGGCACGTCGTGGCACCCATCCGGGCGTCTGTCCTTCACCAGGGGAGAGCTCTGTGAGCCCCACCCGACCGGTGAGGCCCCCTCACGTCCCCACTGTGGTGTCCTGCCCCGGGTTGCTCCCGGGTGGCTGGTCTGCCGTTGTCACGATCTCTCCTCTTGTTTCCAGAATGCGACCCCACCTGCGTGGGCTGCACGGGGAAGGGCCCAGGGCAGTGTAAAGAGTGTGTGCCCGGGTACACGAAGGAGAGTGGCCAGTGTGCAGGTCAGTGCACCATCAGGGCCGGGGCCCCCCTTCTTCTCAAGCCTCTCGACTACCTGGGGGTCTCAGGAGACGCAGACACGGGGTGGGGACGTGGGGCTGCCCCACTGCGAGCCCTGCACCCTCGCACTCCGGTCAGCCCCGTGCACCCACGTGTCCTGTGTGCCCCCTGCCGGCACAGCCCCACCAGGCTCCGCCAGCTCACTTTCCCCCGGGAGAGCCCTCAGTTCTCCCCTCGCTCCCCCATCCCGAGTTGCGGCTCTGAGCTCTGCTCGAGGGCCTGCCGAGCCGCGACTGAAGGGGACTCTGTTTCAGATGTGGACGAGTGTGCACTGCCTGGGAAGGCGTGTGCAAGGACTGGTGAGAACTGCTACAACACGCCCGGGAGCTTCGTCTGCGTGTGTCCCGACGGCTTTGAGGAGACGGAAGACGCCTGTGTGCCCGCGCAGCCGGCGGGGCGCGGTGAGTGGCGTGGGGTCCCCCCGCGCAGAGGGGCTGCAAAGCAAGGTCCCCCACTACTGGGAAGAACCTGGGGCCGGAGGTTCACGGCCGTCTCTGCAGAGCTTCCTGGGCTCGCAGGCCAGCACTTCCACGGCAGAGGGGGCCGCCTCGCCCACCCCCCACCCCCTGGAAGCAGGGAGTCAGACCCAGGGGTCCGCAGGGTCCACCCGGCCTCTCCTGGCCTTCGCTGGGGGCCTTTTACACTGGTGTGTTTCCTGACAGAAGTCACAGAGGAAGACCCGGCACGGCCGCCCGCCCGCGAGGACTTGTGAGACGCGTCCCGAGTCGGAGCCCGACCTGCCCTCTGAGTCATTCAGACCCGTGTCCCGGTCCTGCTCGGGGGCCCCCGTCTCCAGGGTGGCGGGAGAGGCTGCCGGCAACGCAGCTGATGCTCATTCGACCCTTCAAAAGGCTGCATTTTTGGTTCTTAAACAAATCTGTATATTTTGATACTGTTCTTTGTAATAAAATTCACCACCGAAGGCGGGCGCAGGGCGGGCGTGGGTCTCACTGAGGCAGCACGGGCGCCGGCCCCGCTCAGTCCACTCGTCTCCCGCAGGGAGGAGACGTGCCAGCTGCCCAGCTCTGCGGGGGCGGGCTCGCCGACCATGCCCACCTCCCCAGGCACCCCCTCGGGCTGCAAGTTACCGAACCTTCACCAGGTGGTTTTGCAGGGCACAGTCATCTGTGGGGGCTGCGCTGGGAAGGGAGGTCAGACGTGGACCCCGGGGCCCGCTCCGGCCAGGGGACAAGTAACTCTGGGAAGGGGGCAGGCCGTGGGGTTGAGAGGCTGTGGCTCCGTGGGGACACCCATGGACAGCGCCCGCGGTCCTCACGGGTCCATACGGAGGCCAGACTGTGGCCTCCGCTCCGGCCCTCAGGGGCCCAGGCCCACCCTGGGCAGGGGCCCTGCACCTGGCGGACAGTGCCTCGCAGCTTTGTGTCCATCTGGCAGGGGATGGCGGCAGGTGCTGGAGGGACAAGAAGCTCTCCATCCCAGGACAGGTGTCCCTGAGTCCTTGCAGGGACGTGGAGTCCAGCTGGTGGGGCAAGGATGACTTGTCGTGTGGGCAGTGGGCTGGGGGCCTGTCCCAGAGACCATCGGGGGCATTAAACGGGCACAGTTCCCTCTTGGAGACAGCACCGTGGTGCAGGCTGGTGGGCAGAGAAGGTGGTGGGAGTGGTCACCGCCAAAGTGGGTGTGGAGGGGAGTGGGGGTCCCTGATGAGCCCAGAGGGGTGGAGGACAGCACGCCAGCATGAGAGCTGGGGGCAGCAGGGGTGCCTGGTGCTGACAGGTGGCAGGACGGTGCGGCCCAGAAGGGAGGCCCGTGGCCAGGGCTCCCTGTGGGAGGGAGGGTTGGTTGGTACAGGCGACTCCCCAGAAGAGGGGAGAGCAGCCACGCCTGTGCGGCCACTGGGCCAGGAAGGAGGAGTGGCAGGTTCAGTGGAGGGCCAGGCCAAGACGGGCGGTCCCTGATCTGCTCGGATCTGGCACTCAGGCCCAGGCTAAGGTGTCAAAGCCATTTCCCAGGGTGGCCTCATGTCCCAGGCAGAACTGATGGCCCTTTCCAGGTGGAACCCAGAGAATCTCAAGTCCTTGCAGAAGGACACAGGACTGAACATGTGGCCACCAGGTGGCACTGTCACCCCACACGTGGCAGGGTCACCCAGGAGCCACTCCTACCCAGGCTCCGGGTGCAGGTGCTCCTCGTTTGCACAAGTGCCATCGAAGGTGCCCTGAGGGTCTGGATGGTCACCTGGCAGTGGAGAGGGCCTGTGTCCCTGCAGCTGGCTCCCCAACCCCCACAAGGCCCCCGTGTCTGGGCCCGCTGTAGGCAGCTACCCTGCCCCCGTGCCGGGCCGGGGCCCACCCTAGGCCGTCCCCATGGGTACCATGAGGCCTGGGGGGAAGGAGACCAGGCAGCCTTCTCGCTGTTCCTGCTCCAGGGCGGAGCAAGAGTTGGGGGAGCTGGTTCTTAGTCTCCTACATCCCAGGCGGGGCCCGTCTCCCTCCCCCACTGGGGCCCCTGCTCAGCTGTCCCTCCCAGGACCGCCCTCACCCCCTCCCCGAGTCACCCCACTGGGGGCTCCAGAGTCTCACACTCGGGGACGCCGCTCCCTGGAGACCCCAGCCTCCGCTTTCCCGTCTGGATGCGAAGGGCGTCCCCAGCTAGAGGAAGGACCACCGCTGGGCCCCAGGCAAGGGTTGGGGGCAGACTGACCCCAGCAGGACCTGGCAGGCCAGCCCAGGGGTGAAGGTCACAGGGGCCTGGGCCACGGTGGCTGAGGGTCCTATGTGCCTGGGCCGGGGCGGGGCAGCGGAGCAGTGAGGTGGGCGTGCTTCGAGGAGCCACTCCACCTCTTCCCGGCCGAGGCAGAACGCACGTCCCCCTGCACAGGCCCTGGCCGCCCCTGCTGCTGGTCAGCACCCGGGCAGAGACCCGCCCCGCTCCAGGGTGCTTCCACTGGGCTCCAGGCCAGGGCTTTCTGCCACGTCCCTTGGGGAGCCAGACCCCCCCGCTCTGTTCCCACCCACCAGCAGCTCCTGGAACCAGGAGTGACGGTGCTGTGGGGATGCAGCCCCATGGGCAGGACCTGAGATGGCGTCCGTCCCAAGGGCCCGGCTAGAAGCTTCTACAAGTGTGGTGTGTGAGTGCCCGTGGTCGCTGCCAGCCCTGCCGCGGTCGTGCTGTAAAGCAGGCCCTTGGCTTGATGCATCGTTAGGTGGGACCCAGCATTCTCGACAGGTGGCCCAGGGGCCCTGGTGAGTGGGGACATTTGTCTGGACTGGGCGAGCAGGTGCCACTGGCTCAAGTGAGTAGAGGCCGGGGATTCCGCTCAACAACCTCCTGGACCTGGGACATGCCTGCCCCCGAGTGTCGGTACGGTGGGGGGACGCTGGGCAGGGGAGGGACAGAGCGGTCTTCCTTCCCGGCGGGGCCGGAGAAGAGGGTGCCCGTCTGTGGCCTCAGACACCCCATCTGGCTGCAGCCCAGGTGGCTTTCCCAACATCCACCGTTATCCTGGACCCACCACCTGCCTGTGGTGGTCAAGCTGGTGGAGCAAATGGACGTGGCTGGACCACCTCGCATCCTTACGTCGGTCACTGTGTCGCTGACCACCCCCGGGTGGACTTCCTCCCAGCTGGGGACAGATGCGGAGCCTCCTGGGACTCACCCGTGACGGCGGCCAGAGCAGCGAGGTCCACTTCAAGGAGTCGGCCCCGGCTGTCTGTCCGGGCCTGGGGAAACGGCCGCCGGTCAGAGGTCAAACCAGCGGGATCCCCCGCCCACCCCGGGGAGCCACGAGGGTGCCATGGGCCTCCAGGGACCTGCAGTCACCCCGTGTCCCGCGGTCCCCAGCGCTCGGGTGCTCCGCTGCCTGCGGTTTCAGGGTCTTGGTGCAGGCTTGGCTGGTGGTGCAGTCGCCACCAGACCCCAGAGGGTTCTGGGCCTGAAACCAGGCCCGGGCGGGCAGGTTGCAACCTTTCCCTGGGGCCTCCTGGTCACACCCTTGACCTCCTTGACCCAGTGCTGCTCCTGAGAACGCTGCACTCTGTTCCCGCCCTCCTGGGGCCTCAGGCCTTTGGTGCTGCTCTGACCTTGCTGCTCTCAAGAGCTGTGTCTCCCTGGCCCCAAATGGCCAGGGACTATCGCCCTTGTCACCGCCAGCTCTGCAATGGCATCTCCCTGTCATCAGGGCTATGGAAGCCTCCACCCAGGTTCCTAGCAACCCTGATGCCTCCCCCAGCATGTCTCCAATGGCTGGGCCTCGGGGGGCAGCCTCGGTCCTCCGGGCCCACGGTGCCTCACCGGACACAGCCCACCCCCCCACCCCCCGTCTCGGCCCCACGCCGCTCGGCCCCTGTGGCCTGGTCCCCAGCCTCTGTGCGTCTGGGGCCTCGGCAAAGGCTGTGCTCTCAGCAGCGCTTCAGAGTCCTGAGGTCCCTTTGGGGACACAGCCCCTTCTGTCCTGCACCAGAGTGTCCCTCCAAGACATGTCCCCACTTATCCGGGAGGGAGGTGGGGGAGTGAGTCCTGGGGCAGAATGTCTTGCTGTCCTCGGGCAGGCCGTGGGTCCCTGTGTGGGCCCAAGGTTCCGGTGTTACTGGTCTGGTCCCCCCCGCCCTCCCCATGAGCCTCGTCCCCCCAGCTGGTGCCCCGGGGACTCAGCAGCCACTGGGCTGGGGGTTCCCGCTCTTGGGAGCTGACTCCCCTGATGATACATCCTCTGCCTCTCCCCCCACCCGTCACCCTTTCCCAGAGCAGCAGGGGACGAAAGCAGCCCCCAAGGACATCACCATCCTAGACTCCCAACTGCCGGACCCAGCTCAGCCGCTGCGGCCCCTCCCGTCCCCACGGGGGTGGCTGTGATGAGGGGACCGCCCGCCAGGCAGGGTGATCCCCTGTCCCCACCCTCACCACCAGGCCTGTCCGGGCTCGCAGCGTGCCGGGCTCCCAGATGGGCAGTGGGTCCTCAGCTGACACCCCTGGGGAGCAGGAACGGGGTGACCCCACAGAGGCCAACTGTGGGGCCCCAGCAGCCGGAGACTGTCCTGTTCCTCTTGACACCCCACATCCAGGGCACCTGCCCACCATTCCTGCCCCCAGCACCCCGCAACCAGAGCCTGTGCTGCCCCCGCCCCACCCCACTGGCTCCCTAGTCCCAGGGCCCAGGAGCACCCTCTGCAGACGACGCCTGGCCCCCGGGGCCCTCGCTCCCCACCGCCCAGATCCATACGGGCTCCCCCACCAGCCTTCCTGACTACCCACCCCCGTCTACTCTCCGCCCTCCTCCAAGGCCACAGGCGCCCGAGGTCCTGTGGGCGGTGACGGGGCAGAAGGCTTCCAACTGTGGTGCACTCTGCGGGGACAGGCTGCCACTCAGGCCACCGGTTTCCTCCCTGCTCCCTGGGCCCCTCACAGCCCCGCTTGGGGCTGGGATCACCCCAGACGCCAGGCTGGCGGCTCCACAGCGGTGTGGGGTGAGGGCCCAGCCTGCCCTGGTGGGGCTCCATGGAGGGTGGGTGCCTCTATTTCAGAGACCCCACCTCCCAACCCTGGGGCTCCTGCTGGAGAGAAGTTCCCAGGCGACACCCCAAGGCTGGCGCTGGCCGCCCTCCCTGCAGCCCGGCCACCAGCGGCCCGCAGCCACCAGATGGCGCCGGAACGGACATCTGACCGCACTCCTCACTCCTTGCGGAAAGCCCAGGGGCTCCCCTGGGTCCACGCAGCACACCCCCCCCCCGCCCGCAGGCGCCTCCGCACTGCCCTCAAAGGGTCGCCAGCTGGCCTGGCACCCTCTCTCTAGACCTGGGCACGTGGTCGCCACCCCAGCGAGTGAGGGTGGTGATGGAGAGGGTGCCCCAGCACCTCAGCCCCGGGCGGGGACTGGGAGCCCCTCCACCAGCGCCCATCCCCACCATCCCCCCACCCCCGCCCCCATGCC